TGAAATTGATGGCCCGTCTGTCGGCTTAGAGCCCCAGCCACTTCTTAAATGTTTAAGTTCTCGATTACACGACAAAAGCTGCTTTACAGCACTTGGGTATTTTGCCATGTTAGCCATGTTAGCCGGGTAGGCGAGAGCCTTCCGTTGAAAAGTGCTTACCGGTTGCATTTAGGATAAATAAACTACCATACCATATATTGTATCGTGTCGATGGCCAACAAAAACTTTCCACCAAGGTGCCACGGCAAAAGCAATCCACTTAGGAGCTGAGCTGAGTGGGACAGATTTCGATGGTAACGAATGGCCTGGCATTTGAGAAGTATTTAAAAAGGGTGGACCATTCTATGGAAATTTACAATTTTGGGATAAGCTCTTAAGCTTTCAGACCTTGATTGGGCCTAATAATTGACATTACTCAATGGTCTTGCTGGTAAGGCCTCTTAAAACATTAAATATTCTATAGAAAGTGGATATGATTGAGTAAGCAACAAGTGTATTTACGACAACTGAGAATTGTTTATAGATGGTTTCTCCCTCTGGCCAAAAAAGCCACCCATCCAACCGATATCCTTGTACCATGCACCTGTCAATTTTGGTTTATATATCGTGTTTCTATTTTGGCCCCCTCTTGTCAAGTAGTTTTTCCTGATTTTTGCCTGCGGTGGGAAAACAAAAAAAAAAAGAGCTGTAATAATATGCCATGCTCGACTAGTTTCCATGTGGAAATGACGCTTGTGGTTCCGAGAGTACTCCATGTCCTGTAAGTGCGGTTAGTTGAATTTTTTCTCCTTTGAGCGTTAGACGAAATTTGATTTGACATTGTTATTGCGGTTGTGGCTGTTTCTTTCTGCTGTGAAAACATTGACAGTTGCTCTCGGTCGGGTAACTAATTGAAGTTCGAGGCTATTTCCGAGCTGAACTCGAATGGACTCTGGAATTTGTTATTTAAATTAACTGTCTCTGGCTATCGGTGCCATCTATTCCATGGCTCCGTCATACACTATATTTCCCACCGCCTGTGTCCGTGGAACTTGACCTAAATTGCTTTTTACTTTACTTCATTCCATTACTCCATGGCGATTCTGTGCTTTTCATTGCGCTTTCACCCAACAAAGTTTTAGTCTAAAAGAAATCCTTGATAAATTGTCATAAAGCAAGCGCAATATTTTATCATCAGCTTTTGTGCAACCTTTCGCTGCACTCGTCGAATGGAGCGATTTCATCTTCCTTGTTTATTACGACTTATTTTTATTTTGTACCGCCTTCAACAGCAGTGACCCGCGAATGGTGTCCCTTCCCAGAGAAACAAAAAAAAAAAGCCCCTGATCCGGGTCAAGTCAACCTTGTTCCGGGAAATGCCAGTGCGGGGGAAGTTGCCAAAGTTGTCCAGCCGCTTGTCATTTGCATCGATAAGCGTTCCCAATGCCATAACCATAATGACAATACGTCCAGTAAGCCCAATAATCGCGGCCAAAATGCACTGAAAACAAATGGTTTTTAGTCAGATTAGTTTGAATTAATTAAAAAGTCAATATCAAGGCCAAAAGCCAATTCCTATTAAACAGTTTCTGGTTTATCTTTATACTTACATATCAGTCTTGTAATTTCTTGATTTTAATAATAATCCTAAATAGACATCCTGTTTTTTTGAGTGCCCCAACAAACATGCAGACGGGAAAAGCAATTTAAGTCCTAATGAGCAGAGCGACAAACTTGCTGGGAAGGTCAAGTCTTTGTCCTGCCGGCCGATAAAAAATGATAAGCCAAAGGCAAACGCGAAAGCCGCAGCTGCTCCCCAAAAATAAAGAAATGTATATAAAATAATGCAGAATGAGGGGCATTATTCGGTTTTAGAACATTGTTATACGCGGACCATGTTGTCCCTGTATAACAGTTTGTTGTTGGCCAAGTTAGTCAAGCATTTTGCATGCGAAACGCGTTCACAGAGCTCAGTGCTTTTATGTGGCTATTTGAGCGCCCTGAAGCTGTTTTGATATTTTATTTCCATACAGTTTTATGGGCTAGTAAGCAAATTGTCGGGGCGCGTGGCAGGATCGAGTGGGTTCCACTTTTCGGGGATTTTCATGTGATGGATTCGAAAGTGAAAAAGTGTAATTAATTTTAAAGCTTAGTTGTCAACCAGCTAAGCGGCGTTCCGGCGTTCCAGCTCTTCGAAATTTAGAAACTTCCTGCGATGCTTTTCCCGCAAATTAAACTGAAAGCCTTCGTTCTGTAATCTGGGAAATACATGTGAAAAACCGAAGAACTGAACAACTGAACAACCTGCCAACTGCCGATTCATTGTGCGTCAAATTAATGACAAAGTAAAATCCACAAAAAAGGAGAAAACCCACCACGGCGAAGAAAGTTTGTCGCTGTGACAGAGCACTTTCCAAAATTTGGAAAACTCAATCTAAATTAGGAAGTCAACTATAGCTTACCCTGCCTTAAAGTATCTATTAGTATCTTTAAATCATAAAAGTATTGTTAGTCTTAAGGATTTCCTATTTTTATCCGGCGAAGGTTCTTGATTATTTTTCTACAAAAGAGGGTAAGAGAAACTTATCCTTAAAATAATTAAACAAAATATACATTTCAACCATATTTTTCATATCTTTTACCTACGAACTCCAACGAACCCAGAACCCTCAGGGAAATGGCTTTGCGCAGTTTTTGCCAAGCTCAAAATAAAAACACTCTCTGGCTGTCTATCATCCTCCCATCTACCTCAGGAAAATAGCCACTGGGTGTTGGTGGTTGCGAAACCAGAAAAAAAAAACAACGCAACCACGGCAGGAACTTTCCGCACGCAGGCCGCAAAATGCAAGGGAGCCAAGGCAAAGCGATTTCGCATTATTCCAAAAATGTTTCAAACGCACCAAGGGAACTAATCACGAATGTATTTCCACGTCCAACACCGCAGAAAAAAGACCACATTCACGGATATTGGGCCGAAACGGCCCAAAGGAAACTGCAGCCGAACGGTCCAAACGGAAACAGAATCTGAACCAATTTTGTAATGGCCAGGCGATATTGCGAAAATTTGCCAAATCCAATAAAATGTGTTGCCCCGCTCAAGAGGAGGTACTGGGCGTTGGGTAGTGGGTGTAGGTTGGGTGTAGGCGTGCCAATCCAATTGGAAAAAATTGCAAATCAGTCCAGTCAATGTCTGTTTAAATACGTGGAACCTGAAAAACAAAACAAAAGCGTAAAAACTACAGAAAGGGAGAATATGCCAGCATAATGGATACAGTGTGGAACAGTTTTAAAAACCGACAAAGTGGCTTTAAAGATCAGCCTACCTTTTTCCACAGGGTTCTGTCTGTCTGTCTCCAGAGAGCCCTGACCTTTAGTTAACTTTTCATAATCGATGAGCAGGCAAATCCCTTCAGATACCTCACACTCTCCTTTTCCACCCGCAGGACTCGATAAAGGGTTTTCAACTTTGACCCTGCACCTTTTTTTTATATATTTTTTTTCGGCATCCACCGTAGCAATAATAACAAGTGTGGCTTGAGCAAAGTTTTGGCAGCCCAAAGTGGCTCAAAGAATATATATTTTTTTTAGGCCCGACCATCTCTTTTCCACATTTTCCAACTACCCCCAGGGGCGCGCCCCTGGCGTTGGGGCGTGGCTTGTGTTTGTGCGTACATGTGTGTTTGCAGAGTGAATATTGGGTGAAAAGTGTTTTAAAACAAGAAAGGAAAGCTAACTTCGGGCGGAGCCGAAGTTTATATACCCTTGCAGTTAAAACCGGATATTTATCGCAAACATCGGATATAGTTGGCCGATCCTTATGGGAATAGGAATATATAATCCAATTTATTACAATACAAAATCTAAAAAAAGTCCCAAACTTCTATCTTCAAAAATACGAAAGTTGATATTTCTACCAAATACCATTTCCGATCGTTCAGTTATATGGCAGCTATGGGATATAGTCGGCCGATCCTAATGAAATTTGGTAGGTTGGATCAACTGACCAAGAATTAAATCTGTACTAAGTTCCAGCTTTCTATCTTCAAAAACACGAAAGTTGGGTCATTTCCGATCGTTCAGTTATATGGCAGCTATAGGATATAGTCGGCCGATCCTTATGAAATTTGGCATGTCGTATTATTTTGCCAAAAATAGCTCTCATGTCAAATTTGAACTCTCTAACTCTAAAAACACCAAAGTTATACCATTTCCGATCAATCAGTTATATGGCAGCTATAGGATATAGTCGGCCGATCTGGGCCGTTCCGACTTATATACTGCGTGCAAAGGAAAGAAGGGTGTGTGCAAAGTTTCAAGTCGATAGCTTTAAAACTGAGAGACTAGTTCGCGTAGAAACAGACAGACAGACGGACAGACAGACGGACAGACAGACGGACAGACGGACAGACGGACAGACGGACAGACGGACATGCTCATATCAACTCAGGAGGTGATCCTGATCAAGAATATATATACTTTATAGGGTCGGAGATGTCTCCTTCACTGCGTTGCACACTTTTGACCAAAATTATAATACCCTCTGCAAGGGTATAATGAGCCCAGCACTGAGCGTGCTTTAAGCATAATGACTTCAGAGGATAAAAGGTGCCAAAGCAGAGAAGCAATCGGATTATAGAATTACTTTTTTAAAATGGTTTTAAATGTTGGTGATGACTACAGAAATAAATAATTTCAAAGCGGATAAAAGTTTAAAAATCTCTCGGAAAATATGGTATAAATTCTAAAATCATAAAAGATTAGTATATACCTTTCTTAAATATACATTTACAACAAATTTTTACTTCTCTTTAGTCGATTTAAAATGTTTTAGTCAGACACTCAAGTCACTCAACTTAATTTAAAGACATTTTTAAAATAACAAAAACTATTATATTTTGAATTTGGCGCCAAAATGGCTGTCAAATCGTCGTTTCTGGTGTTGCCGGACCATTTTTCTGCCAAACAGCTGATCCCGGCAAAGTTACTGAAGTTTTACAACACTGCCGCTGAACAACTGTACAGCACTGCGAGACTATTTGCAAAAACACAACAACTTATCGGAAAACAGCGAAATACTTCAAATTAAACGTTCAAAATGACTCAGGACATGCTGCTTGGCAACGAGGAACCGAGCAAAAGCAAGGAAACGTTCCTGGAGAAGTTCTGTCTGTTGGCCAAAGCAGCCACCTCGAATGCCGCACTGCTCGACGTGATTCGCCAGGCTCTGGAGGCTCCAAATGTCTTTGTTTTCGGTGAATTGCTGGCGGAGCCTTCTGTGGCGCAGGTTAGTTATCAAATCCCTTTATTTAGCAGTCCACTAATCAGCTACTATTCCAGCTCAAAGACTCAGAGGATGCCAAGCACTTTGAGACACTGAATCTGTTTGCATATGGAACGTACAAGGATTACCGCTCCCAGCCCGAAAAATACATCGAACTTAGCCCGGCGATGCAGAAAAAGTTGCAGCACCTTACCATTGTCTCGCTGGCCATTAAGGCCAAGAGCATTCCCTACGCTCTGCTACTCAGCGAGCTGGAAATAGATAACGTTCGCCACCTTGAGGACATCATCATTGAGGCCATTTATGCAGGTAAGTGAGGATTGAAACTACGAAATGCTAATGGAAATAGGTGTTGAGGACTTTATTTTAAGTTTAGATTAAGGTGCTTATATTCCAATCTGTAAGATTACAGTTTTGCAGACAATTTTGTTGTGCCAAAAACACTAGAAGTGTTTGGGGTGAGGAGCCTATTTTAGTTTTTAAATCTAAGCGTGCAATCTTTGAGAAACCATTTTAGCTTGGAAGTTATCTTTAAAACTGAAACTAGTTTCCCTTAAAACATCAAATTGATGTAAGGAGTCTGTTTTTCTATCAAAATTGCTTAAAATATTAGCCAAAGAGCTTCACCTGGTCTTGTACTTGGCTCTCAGCTTGGCTGATTCACATTTCCGGGAAATATTTGCATAATTAACTTAAATGCTAATTTTTTTGCAACTTCGCACCCACGCAAGTGTAGGAGTGCCAATTAGCATTTTGGAAGGATGCTTCTTACGCGCCTGCGGCCCATCAGCTGTAAAAGCAGCTGCTGCAAAAGCCGTGTCAAGTTGCGCCGCCCCACTTCCAGCCTAGCCATCTGCCCATGCTGCCACCAAAAATATCCCACCCACCCATCATCTGCCTTGGGGGCAGTGCACTTGATTAGCCGGGACAGCTGACGCATCCTGTAAACGATGTTGGTAACGAAAGGAGAACAATCGAGTCGAAGAGTGAGGCTAACAGCAGAGCCAGGCCAGATTCATTAAGCCAGTCGGTTTTGCTGCGCTACCAGTTGCTTTGTCCCCTGAACTCCCCCCTGGGGAATCAGTTTTTATGGCATTGAAAGTCGTCAGCTGGATGAACACTCTTGCCTCGATGATTTCCTTTCTCAACTCAGCAGGCATGAGCTCGACCAACCACAGTGAAAAGTCCTTAATTGACACTAGAGGTGTTCTTAAGGTTTATAAGCGTTCTTTAATCGGACATCTAAATTGTAAGTAGAGTTGTATAATTTTATTCTTCAATTCAATTCTTCCCTCAATCAAATATTGGTGGGTTCTCCTCCTCCAATCAATCATATTGCGCCGGCACAGATTGCAAATTTAACACACTCTTCGTTTGTATTTCCTTCTGTTCTGCAGCTGTCTGGAAAAAGCCGTAAATCAAACGCAACATCCGGAATCCGGAGCCCAAACATGGGGCTAAAGTGCCCCATGTAAGCATACTTTTAGGCCCTCGATGCGGTGCTAAACTTGTTGTTGCTGTTGATTTTTGAGCTCTGGACTCGTGATCTATGGTCCAGAGCAAAAACAAACAGAAGCTGCGTAGGAATACTAAGCCCTGGGCGGAATAGAGGGGGAAAAACAAGGAACACAAGCTCTTCAGATGATAGTAGGCTAGTGTGGTATTTTAAGCGCTTCAGCGTCCGACAAGTGTCCACTCGAACCGCATTATTTGGGCGTGGCCGAGAACAACCAAACACGGCCGAAACATAAGCGCCAGAACATTACTTGGTGTGGGTGGAAAGCAAATAGCAGTCAGCACTTTTTAATGGAGTCTTTGCTGTCCATTATCTAAGCAAATAAAGTGACAACTCAACACCCGACAGCCATCTGTCCCATAAATAACCCAGGATCCCCAAGACCCCAGAGCAGCCACTAAAGCTCCAAACGTCGTTTCACCTGGCCCTCCTTCTAATTGCTTTCCAAAGCCAGGCGATGAGCAGACAAATAAATTCCCTCGTACCAGCCAAGATTTATGTTATGATAGCCATCATTAGGGCGTCACTGGTGATGGTGGTGGTGGTGGTGAACTGCCAGATGGCTTGGTTCCTGATGTCTGGATGCCTGATGCCTGGCGCCAGCCGGAATGCGAAATCATTGCGTTCTATTAGGCGCCGTAATCTGACATCGCAATTTAATGTAGCTCCCAACGTGGGTCGCCATTAGCCGGCGGGCAGGTGAAGCACTTGGCCCCCACCTCGCGATTCCAGGTCATCCCATTAGAGCATCATTTGTCTCGCGGGGCGTGCAGTTGGGGGCGCCTAAGGTGGTAGTAGGATATGGTAATTAAATGCCTTCTATAATTGAAATTCGCTTGAAATTTATTTAGGCCGGTTCCATTAGTGAACTGCCGCCTGGTGATTGATTTGGCTTGAGAGCCAGAGACTGAAAAAAACCCCTAAATACAAATAAAAGGTAATATATGTATAAACTGATAAACCTACTTCATTAGTTAATAAAATAAGGCTTATGTTGTGGTAAAAAAAATGATAAAATTATCTTAATTAGGTTTCAGATATTTTTTATCCTCTCACTTAATAAAGACCCTGACTCCCTGACCCCCTTACTATTTTTTTCTGACCTTTAAATTCAACAAAAAAGTGGAATATTGCTGTAAAAGTTTGTAATGCAAAAAAAAGTTTCGAATGAAAACAAGCTGGGCACCGACGGGAATAAAACTATGATAGACACTACCAAAATCCAGAGGAACCCCGAGGGATAAAAACCCTGAAAACCACAAAAAAAAAGACCTGTGGCATCTACTTTATTAAAGCCTTGGGACATCGATGCAACCACGAGCTCAGTAGCAAGGAAAATAAGACGACCTGCGTTTCATATTTTTCTAGTACACCGCTCCGCTCCGAGAGCTCGTTGGCTTTTAATTTTCATGCAATTTCCTAAATATTTCCCCCGATGGACTTACTGCATCATCCTCGCAGAGAGAATTATTCAAAGGACTGCTTTACCTTTTTTTTTTGGGGGGAAAAAGAAAAAAGGCGTAACGTTCTTAAGAGCTCGACGGTGCAACGATGTTGTGGATGGCACCTTGTTTTTCGAGAAACTAATGCCATGTGGGGCTCGTTGCATGGAGAATGTGTGTTCCGGGTTGTGGGAGAATGTGCCGGCTTGATTGTTGCCTTTTGGACGCAGTTCTTTAATACCTTTTGTGTCAAAGAAAAGTTTCGCATAATTCAGGGTGCTTAAAAGCGGCTTTTAGACCCTACCCTCTCACCACCCAGCAGCTGGGCCGATTTGCAATTCAGGGGTGAAGCGGAAACGGAAACACAAAAAACAAGGATGTTTTTTTTTGGGGTAGAATGCAGAATCCTTAAAAAAAAAAAAAAAAAAAACCTTAAGCGCCTTTTTGGAACAGAAAACCCGCAAAAAAGTTGTTAACCTCTTTTGCAATCGGTTAATTAACAGCGTAAAATGAAAATGTGCATACAATGAAAATGGAAAGCTCTCGCTGCATGAAAATCGGCTTTAGATGATTGCGTCAAAGGTTAGGGGTTAGCCTGTGACCTTGCCATAGAGACTGAATTTTCAGCAACCACGCAGCTGGGAGATAATTTGCATCCTGTCGCGAATTTAGGACTCCGCCCAGGACCTTTTGCCTCGCGAATAGTTTTCAGCGCCTGCGGCTCTTGGCAGTAACTGCGCCGGATAAACTTTCCGAACAGCGTGTGTCTGTATCGAGCACTTTGTCAGTTTTAGGTGAAAACTTTCTCCCAGTTCACCGCCAACGCATATTGGTGCCAGAAGTTGAGGGAGTCTGTGCTAGCAGTTCTCTAAAATCTATCGGGTATTATTATATTAAAAAGGACTTGAAAGATGGTATTATTAAAGCTAAGTTGGTGGACAATATTTGGGCAACACTGGTGGATTGCCGAACCTTTATCTTAAGCCATTGTCCTGGTCTGCTGTTGTCATTCGGGTTTTTGTGTAAATTTCAATTAATAAGTTCTACAAAGTGCCAGGTGGGAGAAATGTCTGAAGAGTTGCCAAAGATGTCAGCGGCAGGTGCGTCCCTTAAGAACGCCGCCAGACTGGGATAGCGCCTTAACATGGTTGACCAAATATGCTGGACAGTGCGTGCAATAATTCCATGCTTTTTATTCATCTCTTGGAAGCGGTCCAACCATTTGAATTCCTTCAGCAACCACAGCCGTCGGCGGTTTTACATCATCGCCTCCTGCCTCCTTGCCGCCTGGATGCCTGGATGCCTGGCTGCCGGCGATTCATTCTCCTGCTGTCCGTCAACAGTTTTTGCACAATTTGCGGGCATAGCAGTAAGCATGATTGATTGCCCTGGCGTTGAGTTTCTCGCACGCGACAGCAGGCGGCCTCAGCCCCAGCCCCAGAGCAGGATGGGGAACGGGAGGATGGTGCAGGATACCAGACACATGTCAACGCGGAAAAGCCGCACAAATTTTACAGCACTTGCGGCTGAAGGCGTCAAACCACAAAGGAATCCCACGTTCGTTCCCCCCATACGCTCCAATTATTCGTTCGGCCCACTTGAAGGCGTCAAATCAATAAAAATTTTTGCACACAGCTCTCAAGCTAATTAGAAAAGTGTTTGACAAATTGTCGAATCAAATGGCAGCCTTCTTGGCAGTGCGCGAGGATCCAACGGAATTGAATATCCGAGCGAATTCCCTGCATATTTGACTGAATATTTATGGTGAAAGTCAGTGCAATAAACACGGAAACTTGGTCCTGGGACTGGGTCCCGGTTTCGGGGCACCCGTTCAAGGACAAGTGCTCGTAAAGTCAAAGTAAAAGAGCTTAAGGACTTAACTAAAGCTTCGCCATGGCCCCAGACTAAGTTTCTGCCTCGGGCCATAGTTAAGTTCAGCTTTCAACGCCAAACGATTGAATTTCTGGGACTTTCCTACCATCGATCGTCCCTTTGAGAGGCCGAGTCTCTTCGACGTCGACGACGGTGACGACGAAAACAATTCCCAAAATCCACTTGTTATAAATTCTAATCCCCGCTGAGCAGCAACTACAACAACATAAACCTGAAAGCGTTGCAAACGACTTTTCAAATTAATTACTCAAACTACTTTTCACCATCGGCCATGGCATCAAATTGCATCTGCCGGATTACTTACATCCACTGGGCTATATTTTTGGTAATTGAGTCCGTCTCTCCCGATACACAAAGCTAATCTGGGCCAAAGCCACTCCCACTGGGGGATTAGTGGGGATGGCCCCAAAGTGTCCAAAACAAAAGTTAAAACGTTTGTTTTTGATTACACACCGTACGTGTCTCGCCAACCGCAATGTTTTCCTAACATTTGGGAATTTCGGAATTTGCGGTGCGGACTCGGCTCATATATTTATGGAACTGCAACTTCCATTTGCCTAATTGTAGCCAATTTTAGTCTGTTGTTTTTACGCTTTACTAACTATTTTCTAATCAGTTTAATTGATTGAGCACTACCCAGGGCAGCTCCAGGGGAATAAATTGAAAATTGATTGAGTGTTCTTGGCTAGAAAAACGAGTTTGAAATTAATCTACTGCCGGTTGTTGGTCAAATCTATAAAAACCAAAAAATGTGGTAAGATTTAAAAAAGCTTTTCATTAACTGAGCATCTGGGCTTGGAGTACCTTTTCCTTTTGCAATCAATCACTAAATAATTTTTAAAACAACATTGTTTCTGTTTTTGACAAACAAACGTAGTCCTTCGATAATCAATTTATTTATTTGAATTTTATTGTGTTTTTTAAAGAGTTTCCTTCCTTCAGTTAAAGTGCACACTTTATGTGCAACTGTACCACTGTTGCAGGCACTTGTTGCCGTGCTTGAGGGCACTTTAAACTTGCCACTTGAGACCGGCAGTCGGGACAACTTCAGAGACTGTTCGTTCTGGGCAATTAGTCAGGGAAAAAGCTGACAGAAAATTAAAAAAACAACTTTCTTTTTGTCGACTTTCTTTTGCGCAGACATCATCCACGGGAAGCTGTTCCAGAATACTCGAGTTCTGGAGGTGGACTACGCCCAGGGCCGGGACATACCGCCCGGCTATACCAGCCAGATCGTGGAGACCCTTCAGGCCTGGGTCAACTCCTGTGACAGCGTCTCCAACTGCATTGACATGCAGATTAAATACGCCAATGCCGAAAAGTCCAAGAGGATTTTGAACAAGGAGCGAGTAGAACAAGATGTATGTATTTTTTAAGAGATTAAGTTTTGAATTATAAAGTTTATAATCATTTGTTAAATATTTCCCCCCTAGCTTATTAATTTAAAAAAGGTACTGAAGAGCCAGGCATCGGACAGTGACGAAAGCATGCAAATCGATACTCACGGACCAGGAACCAGCGGCGGTCTGGGTCAATCGGAGCTACGCAAGAAGCCCTCGAAGCTAAGGAATCCACGCAGTGCGGCTGGTAAGTGTTGCAACTAAAAATAAGGAGATTCCCATTTGTGGAACTCCCCCAACTGGCTTAGGGAGACTGGCTTCATTACATTGTTATAACTGATTAGTCTTCTTGCTAATTTTCTATTATCACGCTTCTTGTTCTTTTGTTAGCAGTTGGCCTGAAGTTCAGCAAGTGAGTGGAGTCTTGTCGAGCGGATGTGGGTGGATGTGGCAGGGCGCCAGTCAGCTGCAAGGACGAGTGCAACACCACGTGGCACCCGAAAGGCGGAATCTGCTCTGCACTGATGGGGGGACGAGAACTTATCACCTAATATAATCACAGGAAAATTCATCTCAATTTAATAAACAAACGGCGGCTGCCAGCAGAATGGATTCCATAATTAGCATCAAATTGATCATGAAACCAATAATAAATCAAATCTTGTAATAATGAAAATATGAATCAAAGTTCTCTTTTTAATTAGCCTACTTATTTATCCACATTTGCGTGATTTGCGCGTTAAACGAGAGACCATTGTTTACCTCTTGATGCTGCGGGGCTTGGCCCCAAACGAGCCTTTAATTAATGACAAAATAATTCTGGTTTAGACAAATGTTTATTTGGCACATGTGCATAAATCCAAATGGTGCGTGTTGCGGTCTGTTTATGCACATTTGTGTTATATGTGGCCAATTACGAATCGAAAATTGAGTTTTTCCTGTGCCCTTAGATGGTCATTAATTTTGGCACTTGGGCTTCAACCATTCGGAATTTTCGGCGGCTTTCCACATGTTTCTGGCCAAAAATATTTATGTAACAGGATGTTTTGGTTTCAGTCTAAAATTGTCTTTAAAATTATTGTTTGGATCTGCCATATAAAAGAGGCAAAGATAACATAAATGATTGGTTTTAAAACTGGTGCTCATTGAAAAGTAACTGAAAGTGACAACCTGAACAAACTATTGTGTCAGACATCCAACAAACTCCCCCCCCTACATGAAATTTAGCTTAGGGCAATTAGGTTACATTCCGTGCTACTTGTTTGGATTTATAAAGCTCATAGCAAACACAACCGCCACAAAACGTCAGTCAAATGGCGCCACAATGTTGGCCAATCCTAGAGTGTTGATTTACATCTTCCTTGCGGCTGTTTTCACTTCGTATTGGAAATAGCGTCATGATTTGACTTTGCTAAAAATAACGTTTTGAATCCCTATTGCAAAGTGACAAATACAAACACTACCAGCCACAAGTTAATTGCTCCTTTTTGCTTTTATTGGTTAATTGTTTAATCCTCAACATGCAAAAGGTACCCATTTAGAATTTATCTTTCAATTATCAAGTTATTGTATATATATTTAATCAAAAACTTTGTTGCAGTGATTGCCTTTCAGTAAACCAGATCCCGTCGGTTCAAAGATCAAATGTGATTATATTATTCTATCAATTAAGCTGCCATACTTTGATAGATCACACCTAATGGACTAGCATTTTTGAAATCAGTTTACATCGGTCGGTCGGGCAGTGAAAATGTTTGATTTTCTATTTTCCGTCGGCATCTTGGGCATTATTTTGCTTTTCTCTATCCTATATCGTGAAAGGTATAGACGGCTAATCCAACACATCGACAAATTCCATGGACCAACGAAGATTCCAATTTTGGGCAATCTATTGCAACTGGGATTCACTCCAGATGGTGAGTTTTTGGATTCGATTTTGAACAGAAGGCAGATTCAGGTTTGCAACCAGTTCTTTGTTATTCAAAAATAAGAACAATTAAAATAATCGTATTTATCGCTTGGCGACAAATTTCAACTTTATGGATGTCAGATTTGTAGATTCGCACTTTTGGCATTCAATTCTTTAGCTTCACAAGCGGGTTTTTGCAACTTTAGATTTAGATTTAGAAATGTTAAAGTTGGCCTCCCGTCAGGCTTTATTCTAAATCTAGGGCAGATTCAATTTATGCTGAATTTTCTGAACTCGTTTTGAAAAATGAAACCAAATCCAATTATAATAATCAGTTGATTGTATAGACCGGTGAATGCCAGATAACATTTTTGACCTCATAAAGGAAATGATTTATAAATTAAAAAGTTCTTATCAGCATATGCTGTATAATTTTGAGAATAACATTTTTTTAAGCATTGGATACATTGGTTGAGGTGCCATTTAAATACAGTTTGTTTAAAATAAGTACTTAAATAAATAAGTATTTACTTATATGTAGTAAGAATAAGTGCTTAAATTGTTGTGTTATCAAAACACACTTGTTTTGATAACTTGCGAAACAGGTTCCAAGAATTATATATTATAAATAGTAACCCATTATTACACAGTATTATGAAGAACACTAAGTACTAGTTTCTGACTAAGTGAAGCAAATATAATTAAGTAATCAAAACCATTTTTCCCTAATCCCCCTACTAGACTAGATAGAAGTCAAGTGAACTAGAAGACTATCGATTTCTGTATGATGTCTTCTAATTATTTTCAATTACTGAAATTACTTTATATTGAAAAGTAAAATCTACAACAGTTGGCTATTGCTCATCAACTTATTGCTAACTTTGTTATCATTGGAAGAATCCACTCCTGCCTAAAAGCGTGTTTTGGCCATTTATTTATGCACAATCCGTTCATCTTGGTTGGGTGCAACCACTTATTGTTTCAATGTGCCAAAAATCCGAGTGAATCGAAAGCGAAATTGAAACTGGTTGGGCGGGTTAGGAACCGTTACAGTTGATTAAAGCCAAAGCCACTAACTTGTTACTGCCGTAAACAATTTGCATGTATTTCGAAAAACAGAATTCTTAAACAACTAGGTCGAAAAGTATCCGGAGAACAGTCCGCATTGAATTTCACGTTTCAGGTAGGAGGTGGGTTTCCTTGGAGCTCCTAGTGGTGGTAGCTGGGCTCAGGTGCTGGGGGGTGGGACTCCAGCCAGGCGACGGCGCGGGCGATAGCCTCCGGGATTGGGGGTGGGGTTGGGATCCAGGCACCCTGGGGCTGGTATCCGTTCTCGTCGGCCACATACTTGATGTCCACGTGCTCACCCTCGGGGGAGATCCAGCCGAAGCTGCCGTGGATGTTGCCATGGACATCTCCGCTGGCGGACTGCTGGATTCCGTTGCTGGTCTGCAGGCTGGAGTCGAAACCATCGGCGCGGATGTCGTCCGATCGGGATTGCACCTCGGCGTGGACATCCTCGGAGCGTCCCACACTGTGGGGCACTGGAGGATTGGCCAGGGCCAGTCCCAGAACGGCGCAGATCATGGCCTAAACAAAATAAGATACTTTAGCGTTTGAAGGATTCAATGTCCTGCCTGCTACTCACAATCTTGAACATTTTGGCTGATTTCTGTCTGGTCGAGTACGAACGTTGACTGATAACTGCATCTGGTCAGTGGCTGTCTTTTTATATGATTAGCCGAGCAGCGGCATCTTCGAAAACAAATCGATACATCTTGCACCCAATTGTGGCTTTGAGTTATGACATGACTTCTCGGATGCGCCCGCACCCAATAAAACAAAAACGAATAAAAAACCATCACCTGGCGACAGCGAAGCAAATGCCAAGCAACGGGATAAGTACTATATATATTCATTTAATAGATGCTAAAATGAAGCACTCGCATTAATAAAGATCCGCAAACGGGTCCGAGGAGCATCCCCGCGGCCAAACGAGTTCACTTCTCCCCTTTGGCCAAAACCCCCTTACCTTTTTGTGAACCAATTTTTAGAGTCACCCGATTCTTCTTCCCAAAATTAAAGAATTAATGACTTCTAATAACAACAAATACTCTTTAGCTTTGATGTGGTGTCATATATTTGCTTATTGGGGACTCCTTAGCAATTAAGTTTCAATATGGTTTCTAAACAAACATAAGAGCAGGCTTTCAAAGTTTAAATATAATGGGTTTTGTTAGAGATGGTAAAAGTTCTTAAATATTTTTAAGGCTTTTTTTGCGATAGTAGCTTTTGGCCATTACGGTCTTAAAATTTGCCAAATCATGTACTACAATTTTTGAATTCTGTTCTTAAATTATTCCGATAATTTTTCTCTCGTTTCTGTGGTCCAAAAACTATTTTTTAACTATTAATATAAATAAATAGGTGGATAGGGTGAACACTGCGATATTTTTTATCTTATTTTTCCAAACAAAGATAAATACACCGATCTTAAAAATTATGATTCGTTTCAATGGCATAATTTTAAAGTCGAGAAATATTTTAGGATTCCTTTTCAAGACCTTATCGAAATCATATGAACGTTTTGAGTATCATTTATTATTATTATTATTATTATTACATCGTAGACTTAGGCTTACAAAACGTAAATCTACTACAAAAGCCATGGCATCTAGGGCCGTCGGCTGTTCGGATGTATTTAACATACCACTAAATATCAAAAAAATTTTAAGCCGAGTTCTTTATTCTGAAAATGGAATTTACGTGAACTGAAGGAAAAAACCGAAGACAGAGGATTGAATGGAGCTAATAAATACCCCAGGTCAATAAGATCTAAATAAACCCCTAAGTTTAAAATAATAAGGTGCCCCTTTGTCAGCCCCAGAAGCTTTATATTGAATAATGCTTACAGTCCCACCTGAAATACAACCATTACGATCATACTTGAGAAGTAAGCCATTATCCTTTCAAGTTTTTTGAGAAGATAAAATAATTTGTATACTATTTCAAGCAAGTGCATGTATTCTTTTGAAAGTCAATAAGTACAGCTAAACAGCTAGGTGCATAGGTATCGAGAGAACAGTCCGTGGAGCGATCCGGGTCCGGAGCAGTGGAGTTTAGTAATGACGGTTGTGCTCGGGAGCTGGGGGGTGCGACTGCAGCCAGGCGACGGCACGGGCAATGGCCTCTGGGATTGGAGGTGGGGTTGGGATCCAGGCACCCTGGGGCTGGTATCCGTTCTCGTCAGCCACGTACTTGATGTCCACGTGCTCGCCCTCGGGGGAGATCCAGCCGAAGCTGCCGTGGATGTTGCCATGGACGTCTCCGCTGGCGGACTGCTGGATTCCGTTGGTGGTCTGCAGACTGGCATCGAATCCGTCGGCGCGGACATCTTCCGAGCGGGAAACCACATCGGCGTGGACATCACCTCCGGAAATACGGGAAAGGGTGGCGGGGGAAAGGGCAGCGGCCACTCCCAGAAGGGCAAGGATCGTTACCTAGATTAGGAAGAGACATTCCATTACTTAATCAGTTCCTCAATCATCCTGCAAGCTACTCACAAACTTGAACATTTTTGCTGATTTCTGTCTGGCCCAGAGCGAACGTTGACTGATATCTGATTCGGGTCGGTCAGAGTCTTTATATATGATTTCAAAGCCAGTCTTCAAATCAATTACCTAAAATCATCTTTTTTAAGTTATCGGGTGCACAACACGCCCCTAATGCAGAAACCATAAATTTCACACTTGACTCGGCCATACAAATGTCAAAAACGAGTCTTTCGATATTGAATGGCTGGCAAAATGAAGCATGCTTTCGCATATTTTTTGTGAGAGGGTTTCGTTCTGGTTTGTGATTCTTCGCTAATCAATGACGTTTAACATTGGACACACCTTCAGATACATTTCATATTTCATTACTAGAGTTCCTATTTTAACTTAAAAACCTTAAATCTTAAAAGTCTTTTATAAAACATTTGTTTTTGTATAAAAAAATCGATTTATTCCTTTTAATAAAGAAGCTAATATTTTTCTAAATATTAGTTTGTGAAATAAAATTATTCTTTTAATAGTAAAAAGGTGTAATAGTAAAAATTAAATTGTCCTTAGTTTCTCTGAAAATAAATAAATCAACCTTCACTAATTCACATAACAAAAATCTAAAATTAAACATTTCCTTCCTTTTGAGCAACTACCAATATTTAGGAGCCGACTGTTTAACTTCTAAATTTCTAAATTAAATAAATACCAGCTTTAAATTGTATACAAGTGCTGTGTGTTTTTCTGAGCTCTTAGTTTGTCTCCAAAAAATATGCTACATTTTAAACCAATTTATTTCCTTGTGATCCAATTCAGGCAAATTCATTTATTGTATTTGCAGCTATTTTGATCTGACGCAAGAGAACAATTAAGAATATCTCATGAATTATTCAATGTCTATTCGATTTGCATTGCGTTTCCGTTAAACTTTGGTTTATTTTTTGACTCGAAAATCATGCCAGCAGCTACTGAGGCTAACTTTGTCCTAATTTGCATCGAACAATATTTAAAAAGCGCGGCAGACGATTTTTATGGACCTCAGACTTCCAATCAAGTCCATATAATTAAATAATCATATTGCATCAGCTTTATGCTCGGAGAATTTTCAGATACCTATATAAAGCCCGACTTTGGCATCGATTGGTATCAGTCTCACAGTTCCCTAGTCTGACAATAAAACCAAATCACCATGTTCAAGATCGTAAGTATTCCGAGGACAATTTTGGATACTGTTCCCACTAATCTTGGATTACCCCGCCGCATCAGCTGCTTGTCTGCTCCCTTGCCGCCCTTGTGGCCGCCAACGCCGTTGTGGAGGTCAAGGAGCTGGTTAACGATGTGAACCCCGACGGTTTCCTGACCAAACTGGTCCTCGATGACGGATCCGCTTCCTCCGCCTCCGGTGATGTTCACGGAAACATTGACGGAGTGTTCGAATGGATTTCCCCCGAGGGCGTTCACGTCCGTGTGAACTACAAGGCCGATGAGAACGGATACCAGCCCCAGAGCGATCTGCTGCCCACTCCCCCACCAATCCCAGAGGCTATCCTGAAGGCCATCGCCTACATCCAAGCCAACCCCAGCAAGAACTAAAGAAACCCTAAGGAATATACCAGCATCGATTAGGAACAGCAAGCTCGAGATTGGATTACTCTTGGCTGCTGCTTAATAAATTAGGCAATCGAAATGATTCATGTACATGAATGTTGTTAAGAAAATGTAAAATAAAATAATTCTTCGCACTTTTAAAACATAAGCCTAACAAGCTGTTTTCAATTAACTATTTTTGGTGCAGAGAATATCTGAGCATCTGAGACAAAGATTCATAAAACTTCAGACATATTTCAACCCAATGCCATAACTTTAAGTTTCATTTCATTAATTGAGCTTAAGATAAAATTCTTTTCATCTTAAACCAACTTTCCATTTCCTGCTCAAACTTTCACGAAACTAGAAGTTACTTGTTAATTTTGAAAGTTTCTTAAGTTCGAAATATGCTGAAAAAAAAATATTTTGAGACACTGTTTTGCAAATATCTTAACTACGTCACAGCCCATGCAAAATCCAAATGCCATTTATAAATCAGGATTCTATCGACTTGTAATCTGCATCAAAACATAACAAAAATTATTCAACAAAAATTTTGGTCAAATTTTGGCTAAAATCATGACGTTACCCCTTTGAAAAATCCCGAAAAATGGGTCAACATTTTTGTTGCCAGGTTTTGATGGAAAAAGATGCTACTGTGAGTTCTATAATCGGGAATGTATAACATTTGTGGATCTGACAAACATTAGCCAAGTTATGAATATTTTTCCGTCGAAAAAAGTACAAAATTGGAAAAGCATTCTTAACATTTTTCACATGACCAAAATCCAAACTTTTGATTCACTTTTTAGTGAATATTTTGGCTATTTCTCAAGCTTTCTCAAAACGAAATGCCATTTATAAATCAGGACTCTTATCACTTGTAATCTGCATCAAAACATGGCAAAAATTATAAAAACAAAATTTTGGTCAAATTTTGGCTAAAATCATGATGTTACCCCTTTAAAAAATTGAGAAAAATGGGTCAGAATTTTTGTTGCGAGGTTTTGATAGAAAAAGATGCTATTGTGAGTTCTATAATCGGGAATGTATAACATTTGTGGGTCTGACAAGTATTAGTGAAGTTATGAATGTTTTTCCTTCTCAAAAAGTAAAAAAAACGAAACAACGATTTTGATATTTTCCTGAAAATCTAAAAATGCAATCAAGACTTCGTAAAGCTCCCAAAAAGTATGCTAAGCTTGCAGCAAATGAAGAGATTTGAGCCCAGTTTAAAAAAACCGTTAAAATTAAGCCACCTACTCACATTTTACCTGATGCAATGGTTTAAAGGAATTTTATCAAATGTTAGGCACAAAATTAATTACTATCTGTACGGTTTCAACCAAAAATTCCTTCGCCGTTGGGCCGAAATACAAAACGATTTATATTCAAGAACCACTGAAAGCTGGTTTAACCTTTTCGACAAATCGTGGTCGGAGAATCATTCTAGAATAATTACGGTAGCAATTTGCATGGACTGGTGAAAACAAAAAGAGTGCAGCAGACGATTTTTATCACCCCGGACCCGGCCCAAACATTCCCAACCTGTCCGTCCTCACCTAACGAGGCTTATGTTGGCCGAAATGTTAATTAAAAACGGGTTGCATCAGCTTCGAGCTTGATTTGGGCTGGCTGGAGCGTATAAAAAGCCAAATCTCTCTCGGATTGTCATCAGTCTCTCGAGTTCTCTAGTCGGACAATCAAAACCAGTCAAAATGTTCAAGATCGTAAGTATACGGCAGAGTCAGTTGGCCTGGTCAAATCCCTAACCCGGAATATCCCTGCAGCTGCTTGTGTGCGCCCTCGCCGCCTTGGTGGCCGCCAACGAGAATGCCGAAGTTAAGGAGCTGGTCAACGATGTTAGCGCCGACGGTTTCGTGAGCAAGGTGGTCCTGGACAATGGATCCGCTTCCTCTGCCACCGGCGATGTTCACGGAAACATCGATGGTGTCTTCGAGTGGGTGTCCCCCGAGGGCGAGCACGTCCGTGTGAGCTACAAGGCCGACGAGAACGGATACCAGCCCCAGAGCGATCTGCTGCCCACTCCTCCCCCAGTCCCTGAGGCCATCCTGAAGGCTATCGCCTACATCCAGGCCCACCCCAGCAAGGAATAAGTGCTTCCCCGAACTATCTGAATCCACCAATCTATGGGTCAACATGATAAATATGACTTGCTGCCCAGCTCTTAGAATTTAATCCTCATGCAGACTATATAAGTTTGATTATCGAATGAACCAATAAATCCGATTTTCAATAGAAAACAATTTGGTCATTTTTGAAGTGGGAGGGGCTCTCTGATACACTTGATTTATTTCAGTTGGGACAATAAAATATTCTCCAGATGGCCCACGCTCTGTTCGAATGATTTTTTGATTGATATTGAACCATAACACTTGGCAATAAACTGGTTTAATTAGCGAGTCAGTTGAGAAGTATCCAACCAGATTTACATATTTACTTCACCGTCTGATAATTATTGTAGGTATCATTATTAAATAAAGATGTTTTTTAATCCCTAGCCTATCTGAAAGCTGTTCTGAAATGGTACAAACAATTTGATTATAAGAATTTCTATGTTTGGATCGGGCCCATTCCATTTATCATGCTGGTAGAAAGTAAGTCCGTTGAGGTGAGTCATTAAATTTGGTTTTCACTTTTATTATAAAATAAATATGTATATATTTTCTAATCCACTAGCATGTTCTCAGTAGCAATACCTTGACTTACAAAGAGGAGCCGTACTACTTGATGTATCCCTGGCTGGGAAGAGGTCTCCTCACCTCCAATGGACACCAATGGTTGTTGCGCCGAAAGCTGATAACGCCTTCCTTTCATTTTAAGATCCTAAAAGAATTTCTTCAGGTCATGAATGAAACAAGTGGACGTTTTATTGAGCTACTTTCGAGGGAGGCCGCTGCTTCCAAAGATCAATTACTGGACATTCAAAATTTAGTTCCCAGATTAACCATAGACGTTATTTGCGGTGGGTCTTTTAATATTTTGGTGAATCCGAATATTTCTTAAATTATCTGTAGAAACCGCCATGGGCACAAAGGTCAACAGCGTGGAAGGTCAGCCATCAGAAATTGTAGAAGCCATTGGAGTTCTTTGCAATATAATTCCCGAACGAGTACTGTCGTGCCTTAAACGCATAGAGTGGTTTTTTATGTGCACTCCCATGTATTGGCAACAGAAAAAAGCCTTAGCCACGATGAGGAAAAATTTTGCCAAGGTTTACAACAATGATATTAAGGGAATATATTTTTTGTAAAGCTTAAGAATTTTTTCAGATTATTGAAGATCGACGACGACTGTTGGAGTCCTTTCCACCCATTTCAAATGATACTGAAGATGATGAATTTACCAGCAAACGTCCAAAAATGGCTTTTCTTGATAATCTGTTGACGGCCGATGTGGAGGGTAAACGTTTAAGTTTCGAAGACATCTTTGAAGAAGTCTCTACTTTTATGTTTGAGGTAATATTATCTAGAGTTTTATAAGGTTATATATTAATGAGAAGCATGCCCCTTAGGGACATGATACCACAGCCACAGCCATTATTTTTGGAATTTACTGTCTGGCCTGGACGCCACGGGTTCAAAAAGCGGCGTATGATGAGCAAAACCTAATATTTGGTGCGGATAGTAAGCGTCATCCAACTTATGATGAGCTACAGAATATGCCCTATCTGGACTTGGTTATTAAGGAAACCCTCCGTCTTTTTCCGAGTGTACCCTTTATTTTTCGCACAGCTCCAAATGACACATATGTTTGTGGGTATAAGCTTTATGTATTTCTAAGCAAAATTTAACATTTGTATTATTTTCAGTGGACAAGTTCTTGCCAAAGGGTACCTCTATGGTTATTCCTATCTTTGGCCTGGGTCACAATCCTCACAACTTCGATGAGCCTTTCGAGTTTCGGCCAGAACGTTTTGCAAATACTGACCGGACAAAAGTTAATGTTTTTGATAGTGTTCCCTTTAGTGCCGGTGCCAGAAATTGCATTGGTAAGCTGATAATCCTAAAGATAATGTTATCTTGACTAAAATTGTTATATCCTTAGGCCAAAAATTTGCATTACTTGAACTGAAAGTGGTTCTGTCTAAAGTATTGCGGCGGTTTCAGTTGCTACCCGCTCCTTTGGCCAAGCAAAATATAGCGGATATATTAAACCCGGACTATAAGCCCGGGGAACAAGAAGTTAAAATGTATGTATCCATCACCCTGAAATCACTAACTGGTGTGCCAGTAAGACTGGTGGAGCGAAAGTGATTTGGACAAAACGACTTCTGTTTCTTGGGATCTGGAAATGTATATATTTTGGTTGCATGTGAATTTACGTTATGCAATAAAACAAAAGCAAACAGTCTCAAAATTAATTAGTAGCGAATACGCAAATGTATGCTAATTAAAATGAACTATTTGCCAAGTCAACTTTGATAATTTGCACAGAAATAATGATGCGAACTATGCGAAACTGGTTCGATGTGGAGTCTAAAACGAGACGCGACAGAAATTTCCAACAAATATACACTTTTACTTCTTATTATAATTGAATAAAAACAATGGGTTTCTTTGTTAAATAAAAAACAAAAGCTCCTTTAATTCTGTGTTTTTGAAGTCAAGAAATATAAGTTTTTTCCCTGTTATTTGCAAGTTACAAAGTTAAATATATTTTAGTTTTAATTTGTTTTTAGGCCTAGCGTTTCTTTAGTCTTATCTGTATTCCATTCTCAGATTTAAGGGTAACTCGAATATTTAGTATTGGGTCATATTCACTTTGAGGCACACAATCAACACGGGAATGATCATTGATGCCCGGAGGAAGACCATCGACTGCTGGCAGGATTTCAAAGTTTCGTAGCAACTGAGACAAAATTGACTTCAGCTGGTACATGGCAAATTTCTCAGCTGAAAGAATTCGTAATAAATTTAATCCTTAAAATAAAATAGACTTTTCAACCTACCAATACAACGTCTTGGTCCTGCACTGAATGGCACACTTTTGAAAGCATCGATTCCCACATCTCCATTGGAGTTTTCAAATCTTTCGGGACGGAAAGCGCAAGGTTCCTCAAAGTATTTCTCATTGTAGCCCATAGCAATGAGGCACATAATCACAGTAGTACGCTTGGCCACCTGGGTGCCATCTAAAAAAAAATATTATGGAGGAAGACCTTAAAATGAACACTTTAAACACTTACTTATATCAATGGCTTGGCGGTTGGTCCTTGCAATCAATGGAACTGAAGGATACAAACGCAATGTCTCCCGAATAATCAACTCTAGATAATGCATTTGATCCAGGCGAGATAAGTCTGCTTCTCCGGACGAATCCTTTCCAAAGATGCGCTGCTGTTCCTCGAAGGCCTTCTGCTGAATTTCCGAGTGGCGGGAAAGAGTGTAAAGGCTGAAGGATATGGCAGCGGCCACGGGATCATGACCCTAATTAAGGAAATAGTTTACACAAAAAGCATTATGGTAAAACCTTCTCTGTCCTTACTGTAAAAATGAATGTGGATATCTCCTCTATGATTTCGCGTTCTTTAAGAGCTCGCCCATCGAGTTTGGCTGCCAAGAGCACGTCAATAAATGGCTTATTAATATTTTGGCTTGCGCCGCTTGCACTTTCCTTAGCCAACTGGTGGCGACGTTGGCTGATTATCTGCAACAAGAGGCAAGTATATACTTTAAGGCTGACTCATCCGCTGGATGTTTAGTAGCTTACCCGACTCAGTTCACTTCGGAGGAGCGATAGAGCCCGGCGCTGTTTCATGTAGTAAGAAGTCAGTCGAAATAGAGCATCGAACCTCTTCACAATGCTGAAGGTGCGCTCCTGCACCACATCGCATAAGCTGAAATTTGAAAAGGACAGTGGGGTTGTGGGCTGTGAACTGTAATCCTTAGTATCCCGGGATTAAGCAAAATGAACTTACTCTTTGACGGAGCCATGCAAATCGGAGGGCTCCCCGTTCAGGGAGCTGCTGGCCAGGCCAGTGGCATTTTCTGCGAAAAACGAACGAAACGATGTAACACTTTGTTTAAAGAAAGCTAAATGAACCTGAACGAATCTCGAAATATTCTCAATAAATTACCGCTGGTTAACAGGGAAATTCTTCAAAAAGATTCGTCCTGCCGAATATTCACCAAAGTGGGCCGGTTGTATCGACCCCGTCGTCGGGGCCAAGTACCTTAACCGCGAAACTTTTCCGCCCGCACAATCTGCGGCACTTGTAGCCATTTTCTATGCTATAAATCTTATTTATAAAACGTTCATAATAAATTACAAAAAATAAACGAGCGAGAAGACCGAAGTGCGAAACTCGGCCCCGAAAACGACATGACAAATGTGTAAAGTTTCGCTCTACTACACAGTAGAATATGTTTTTTTCGTAATTTTAAAAAGGTTGATTTCCTAGGTTAGCCAAGGCCATAATTTAATTTTTCAGTGCAGTCTGAGCGAGCACCTTAACTCACCACACACAATATCCAGGGTACACTGGGCCACCAGCTCCTGGGCGTCGAAGATTTCCTGTGTTTCCGACAGGGAACTAAGCTTCTGGATGAATTGGCCACCCGTTCGTTGAACCACTCGGAGATATCCCTCGATGGCCGACCGTTCGAAGGCGGGGAGGTAGATCTTTTGATGCTTCAGCCACCGGGCACCGGAACTGGTGAGCAGCCCATCGCCCAGCCAGGGCCGGAGGAAGGAGTACAAGTGCTCCTTGTACAGCAACGATGAACTTGACAAAATATTCTGCCAAGCACAAGCACACAAAACACAATGTGATGAGGGTTTGAATTGGTAGTGGGGAGGCAGGACACTCCTCACTCACCTGGATTTCCGCCGGATCACTCAGCATCATGTGGTACTGCAGGAAAACCATTGAACGGAAGCCCTGGAAATCATATTTCCGGCAATATTGCAAAACCTTTTTCGGATATTCTGTGGACGAAGCAGAAGTCACTTTCATTAGTAGGACCAAAGTCGGGGTTTGCTTAGCACTAGAGATTTTAATTTGGTCAAATGAATATGGCTCTGTAAAGTTTTGTTATTGAACGCTTATGGTTGTTGGCTTATTGTTTTTTTTTTTATCAGGTCTATCAGGGATACGTTTATAGAATAAAGTTTAAGAAAAACAATCTAAGCAGTCATAATAATAAGCAACATATAAAGTACATGTGCCCATTGAATTGGACACCCATCCGAGCGTAGAAGAAATATGGCATTATGGAAAAATATGCTGCAGCATCAGTTTTTTCCCTCCAGGCATTGTGCATTTGAAATGATTACTTTAGGCACGTGCACCGAGGGACGAAGCAAGGGCGGCTGGCTTGGAGGAAAAACAAGACCAAAATTATTCAGCCGTGCAAGAGGAAAGCTTTTGGGAAATGCAGACAGAACCTGATGAAAGTTGTAGCAAATATTACAATAAATAAGTATTGGGAATCAGACACAATTCAAATGCGCAACTCGATACCAAAGGGAATTGAATGCATTGAATTCCTTTTGTAATGGCAACCGAAGGTTTTAACGGATTCGATCAGACAAATGACATTCCATACATGTATGTATGAAAGCCAAGAGTTCATAAATATAGCCAGTACTTACCGTCGGGCTTAAGGCCAAATTGAAATAGATTGCCAACGAATGGATATGGCGTGGGGCCCGGTATCATTTCCATAATGCTCGCCATATGATCAATATAATTGAATACTTTCACACCCTTGAACACCAGAATGGTGGCCAAAATAATGGCAATGGCTATCAGAAACATTTTGTTTCGTACAACTGTTCTCGTTTAATGCTCTATCCAGACTAATTTCTCTAATTCTTTCGACTAGTTATTGGCCACCCCATTTCCTATACGATAACCCCTTCGATAGCTTATCAAAAATACATTTTGCATCCTTTTTTTATATTTTGTGGTAGTATACAGTTGTTATGAGTCGACCAAATATCATTATCAAACCATAGTTGTTTATGGCTTGCTTCTGCTATTAATTGATAAATTATAATTAGACCAAACTACTAGCCAGTTGGAGCCGATTTGACTCATTCCCACAGTGACGTGTGGGTCTAAAGGGTGGTTTAGTATCGCCAGAAGATATAGTGCCAATAAAAGATTCTTAATCTTGAAATTGAAAAAAAATTGTAGGTTACGGTCAAAGCGTTGAACAAAAACACGTATTAATTTGAGTAAAGGGGGATTTTTTGAAAAAATGGTTTTGTTTATTTCTTATTAAAAAGTTTGAAATATTTTTGTTTTTTATAAAAATTATGCCTATTATGCCAATAATAGTAAGCAGCTATAAATTTGAAAAAGTAAACCCAAAGCAAAGTACCTTTTTTTGTCTTGATTTAAATTTTTCATTTTACGATTCAGGAAACCAATCGACTTCGACCGAACTAAAATTTCCTGCGAATCAAGAAAATAAATTTTTGGTCGATTTTTGGCAATAATCATGCTACCTCTTATAAAATCTGTTCTATTTCTAATTTAGTTATATTTTAGATTCAAAGCTTTTGATAGAGAATTGTAGTACTCAAATGTCTAAGATCGGGAAGCCATAACATGTGTCGCTACCATGATTATTAGTTAAATTATGACAATTTCCCTCAAATAAATGGATGCACTACGGCTTGTTGACCAATCTAAGACCACATGGTCCAAATTAAAAACATTTTGTATTGTATTTGTAAAAGGAATACAATTTTTAAATCAGGGAACCAATCGACGTCGATCTACATTAAAATAAAACAAGAAAGGAAAACTAACTTCGGGCGGAGCCGAAGTTTATATACCCTTGCAGCTAAAACCGGATATATATCGCAAACATCGGATATAGTTAGCCGATTCTTATGAAATTTGGTACGTTAGATCAACTGACCAAAAATAGAATCTGTATTAAATTTTGCTTTCTATCTTCAAAAAAACGAAAGTTGCGTCATTTCCGATCGTTCAGTTATATGGCAGCTATAGGATATAGTCGGCCGATCCTTATGAAATTTGGCATGTCGTAATGTTTTTCCAAAGATAGCTTTCGTGTCAAATTTGAACTCTCTAACTCTAAAAACACCAAAGTTATACCATTTCCGATCAATCAGTTATATGGCAGCTATAGGATATAGTCGGCCGATCCGGGCCGTTCCGACTTATATACTGCGTGCAAAGGAAAGAAGAGTGTGTGCAAAGTTTCAAGACGATAGCTTTAAAACTGAGAGACTAGTTCGCGTAGAAACAGACAGACGGACAGACGGTCAGACGGACAGACGGACATGCTCATATCAACTCAGGAGGTGATCCTGATCAAGAATATATATACTTTATAGGGTCGGAGATGTCTCCTTCACTGCGTTGCACACTTTTGGACAAAATTATAATACCCTCTGCAAGGGTATAAAAAAAATTATGATGTTACCCTTGAAAAATTTTGGAAAAATGGGGTCCGATCTTAGATGGCCAGATTTTGGTAGATAATTGAAGTACTCAAAGATCTAAGATCGGGAAGGTATAACATTCCACGATCAAATAATTATTGAGAAAGTTATGAAAAGTTCCCTGAAATAAAAATTGATTCTGTAGACAAACTATAAACCTAATAGCAGAGATTTTCCCATAGCTACCTAGGCTTTAAATCAGTCTTAAGAATGAAAACATTAATTTATACATGTTAGTTAGCATAACCAAATTCTTACGCGCTTTTTACTCAAGTCAAATTTAACATAACCCATTCTCTGATTCAAATTTTTACCTACTCTTAAATTTAAAAAGAGATTCAAAATGAAACTCTCTGTTGACATGAGAAATCATTTTTTGTTGAAATGCGGTTTTGGCCTATTTGTTTACTTCTTTAAAGTACCCGTTCTTTATCTTTATTAGCAAATTTCTTATCTTAGACGGTGCGGAGGAATGGAAATTGCAATGAAATAAATAAAACAACAAAAATACGATTTTTCTACAAAAAATTCTGTTACTTCAAATACTGTTACGACAGCCCGCTGCCTTAAAAACAAAGCTCTTCGAAACTTGATTGTCGAAATGCCAAGTCATGCTGAAGCACTAAAATATATTCAGACTTTTTAGGCGGTAGAAATTTTGGAAGAGAAAAACAGAGAGCCCGAAACTGGTTGGCTGAAACTCACGCATAAAAGGGGAGCCCCACATGGAATCTACTCTCATACTGCAACCCGATCGCAACGCGTCGCGATCGAAAATGTGGCTCGTACTTTTTGTGATTCTGGCTCTGCCACTTTTGGCAGTCGGGTATCTGCAATTGATAACTTACCGGCGAAGAAAGATTTTGAAAAATTTTAATGGCCCCAAAGGCCTGCCCGTAATTGGAAATGCCCATCAAATGGGCAAAAATCCATCTGGTGGGTTTGTAAAAGGCATTCTTTGTAAAAAGATTCCAGAGGATACAACCAAAATGACTCATCTCGAATAGCGTTGTGACTGATGTGTTTAAGAATAAATCCGAGACAATGCTATTCTTGTAAAGTCATCTTGACCAAGCAACTATTCATAATCGAATCTTAATAGGGTCGGGACTGAGTTTTTTCGCTACTACACTTCAAATCAAGTACTGCAACTTCACAGATAAGAAAATGAGGACTTTGTTCAAGTGTTGCGCAAAACAAACAAACTTGTAATTTGAAAAAAAAAACTAATTGGCATTCTGAAACAATCGCGTGTGAAACACAATTAATGATTTTTTATTGTGCTGTAATTTTAATTGAAATCTGAACCTCTAAAATCTACAGAAATTCTTGACCAGGTATTTGCTTGGTGGCATCAATTTGGAAAAGACAATTTTTGTTTCTGGATAGGACCTTACTCCAATGTACTGGTCACAAACCCCAAGTTCTTGGAGGTAAGCATGACCTAGGTCTTAGAACTGTGATCCGAAATAAAGTTGTTTTTTGTTTTCAGTATATACTCAGTAGCCAGACATTGATCTCAAAGTCCGACATCTATGACCTTACTCATCCTTGGCTGGGTTTGGGTTTGCTCACCAGCACTGGCAGCAAGTGGCACAAACACCGCAAAATGATCACACCTGCATTCCACTTTAATATCCTTCAGGACTTTCACGAGGTGATGAACGAGAACTCCAGCAAGTTCATCAAGCACCTGCGAAAGGTAGCAGCCGGAGACACTATCTTCGATTTCCAGGAACAGGCCCACTACCTGACCCTAGATGTTATCTGTGATACTGCTATGGGAGTGTCCATAAATGCCATGGAAAATCGTACCTCATCTATAGTTCAGGCTTTCAAGGAGTAAGGAATTTGTTCTTTAACTTTTTGTAAAAGTAACTAATAACTTTCTGGCCTTTTTAGCATGTGCTACAATATTAATATGAGAGCCTTCAATCCGCTGAAGCGAAATGAGTGGCTCTACCGCCTTGCTCCTGACTATCCTGCCTACAGCAGGACTCTTAAAACTCTTAGGGACTTCACCAATGAAATAATTGAGAAGCGAATTGCGGCCCACAAGTCAGGTTCCGTGACAACAGCCCAAGCCGATGAGTTCTCTCGCAAAAAGATGGCTTTCCTGGACACGCTACTATCATCCACCATTGACGGACGTCCTTTGAACTCAACGGAGCTGTACGAGGAAGTGTCCACCTTTATGTTTGAAGGACATGACACCACAACGTCTGGTGTTTCCTTTGCAGTCTACTTGCTTTCCAGACATCCCGACGAACAGGTAGGATTATGATACATTATAAAAACTTTGCATTAAACTATTCTTCCCCGTTAAGAAAAAATTGTTTGCTGAGCAATGCGAAGTGATGGGCACTTCGGAACTAAATCGGGATGCCACCTACCAAGAAATCTCCCAAATGAAGTACTTAGATCTCTACATAAAGGAGGCTCAGCGTTTGTATCCCAGTGTTCCATTTATTGGTCGTTACACGGAAAAAGACTACGAAATTGGTAAGAATAAATATTAATTTTACAATTTTTAACAATTTCATACTAAATATGTTGTTTTGTAGAAGGAAAACTCCTGCCCAAAGGCAGCACCCTGAATTTGGGACTCGTAATGCTTGGCTACAATGAAAAAGTGTTCAAGGATCCCCTTAAGTTCTGGCCCGAGCGCTTTGAGCAGCAGAAGCCCGGTCCTTTTGAGTATGTGCCTTTCAGTGCCGGTCCTCGAAACTGCATTGGCCAAAAGTTTGCCCTTTTGGAAATCAAGACAGTAGTCTCCAAAATCATTCGAAACTTTGAGGTCCTTCCTGCCCTGGATGAACTAGTCTCCAAGGATGGCTATGTCAGCACATCTGTGGGACTGCCGCCTGCCGAGAGGGCAAAGCGTGAGGAGTATCGTCACAAATACGATCCCATTTTGTCGGCTGTTTTGACCTTAAAATCCGAGAATGGCTTGCATATCCGTTTAAAGGAGCGAAACTAAAAGAGAAACTCTGTTATGCTTTCTCACTTTTTAAACTTAAGATGACATGTCGTTTTGTTAATTTTTTCCTCCAATCCCAAAACAGGTACTTAGAAAGAAATGATCTTTCTTGTTTTTTCTCCCAAAAAATAATTATTAGAGAACTGTTAATTAGAAAAGTAGAACAAATAAACATTGAAATGTTTTAAACTTTGGACCTAATCGGTTATTAGAGTATTTCACATTTTATGAAATTGAAATCAAAGTGAAATATGTATTATGAACCGTGAAACGCGTAGCTTTTGACTCAAACATCTGGGAGCTGTCTTGATCGGCTATAGTCTTGATTTCATTTGAGTGATAATGAACAGAAAGAGAGCGCTTGAGACAAAGAGAAAACAGTGTCATTATCGCCAAAGAATCCGGTATATAAACCCAATGCGTGCAAGTAAAAGTTTACTCAGTTCTCGGTTCGCGGCTTGTGTCACTTGGGAAGATGTGGGTTGTGCTGTGCATTCTACTCGGCTTGCCGCTGCTTTTGGTGGCCTATTTCGAACTGGGCCTACTGCGACGAAAACGCATGCTAAACAAGTTCCAGGGGCCCCGAATGCTGCCCCTAGTGGGAAATGCACATCAAATGGGCAAGACACCCACAGGTGAATAACAATTGTTTGGAGAACAAGGTTTATCTGAAATCCAAGCAGTTTGATAATGTATCTACTGCGTTAGCGATACATTAGACAGATATAAAGTGAACTTTGATCTTGGGATCTGGAGTGAAAAAGCTTAAAAGCAACAAATCTGTTTTAATAGAAATTCTAAATCGATTCTTTGGCTGGTGGCACGAGTATGGCAAAGGCAATTTTCGTTACTGGATTGGATCCTATTCAAATATTTTAGTAACAAGTCCCAAATATATGGAGGTAAACAAACTATCCCTGTTAAAGAATATATTATAAAATCTCCCCCATTTCCTTTACAGTTTATACTTAGTAGTCAGACTCTGATTTCCAAGTCTGATTCCTATGATCTCATGCATGCCTGGTTGGGATTGGGTTTACTCACCAGTACGGGTAGCAAGTGGCACAAACGACGCAAGATGATCACTCCTGCCTTCCACTTTAACATCCTTCAGGACTTTCACGAGGTGATGAACGAGAACTCTAGCAAGTTCATCGATCAACTGAGAAAAGTTGCCGACGGGGACAATATCTTCGATTTCCAAGAGGAGGCTCATTACCTGACTTTGGATGTAATTTGCGATACTGCAATGGGTGTTTCCATTAATGCCATGGAAAACAGAAGCTCCTCCGTTGTTCAAGCTTTTAAGGAGTATGTATCCTTGATGACCGTATAAAAATATCCTTACAGTTTATTCCTTCTTCTAATAGTATGTGCTACATCATTAAAATGAGGGCGTTTAATCCGTGGAAACGAAATGAAAAGCTGTTTCGCTGGGCATCCGACTACCCAGCCTATAAAAGCACTTTGAAAACTCTTCAAGATTTCACAAACGAGATCATTGAAAAGAGGATTGAAGCTCGAAATTTGAACAAAACCCCAGAAAGTCCTGGCACCGAGTTTGTCCGCAAAAAGATGGCCTTTTTGGATACTTTGCTTTCATCCAAAATCGATGGTCGTCCCTTGACTTCCCAGGAGCTTTACGAAGAAGTATCCACTTTCATGTTTGAGGGTCATGATACCACAACATCTGGTGTGGGCTTCGCGGTTTATTTGTTATCTCGACATCAAGATGAACAGGTGGTGACGAAAATATTTAAAAAGGTGACACATATTTCATGCAATTTTATTTTAGGCTAAATTATTTAAAGAGCAGTGCGACATAATGGGTGGCACCAATCTTTGTCGGGATGCCACATTCCAGGAAATCACTCAAATGAAATACTTGGATCTTTTCATAAAAGAAGCTCAACGTCTTTATCCCAGTGTTCCCTTTATTGGGCGCTTTACTGAGAAGGACTACGAAATTGGTAGGTTTATTGTTGGCTTAAAGAAAGTACTTTTTTAACTATTCTCTATTTTTCAGATGGTCAGATAGTACCCAAGGGCACCACGCTGAACTTGGGCCTTCTAGTATTGGGATATAACGACCGTGTTTTCAAGGATCCTCATAAATTCCGACCTGAGCGCTTTGAAGAGGAAAAGCCTGGACCTTTTGAGTACGTTCCCTTTAGTGCTGGCCCGCGAAATTGCATTGGACAAAAATTTGCCCTTTTGGAAATCAAAACAGTGGTGTCCAAGATTATACGAAACTTTAAGGTTCTACCGGCCCTGGACGAACTTGCCTCTAAAGACGGTTATGTAGCTACCACCGTTGGTCTGCCACCAGTGGAGAAGGCTAAAAAGGATGCATTTGTTCACAAATACGATCCCATTTTGTCAGCGGCCATGACACTCAAATCGGAAAATGGTCTCTTTCTTCGCATGAAATCAAGGCTCTAAAATAAAGCATACTTTTAAGCAGAGAGTAGATTTTTTTGATTTTTTATTTACATTTTGAAAGTGTAGAATCGCTACTAAATATTTTTTACAGCTACTAGAAAGTTACACAGCTACTAGAACCGTACCCACATAGGGACTTGCCGAAAAGGAAGTGGGGTTAATAACCTCACCATCGGTGTACTGCGAGTTAAGAGAGGTGGTAATGACCTCCGCCTGGGTGCCCAGTGCGTAGTACTTGGTCAGGTCCAGGGTCTTGGCAGTGCTTCCCAAGTTAAGAACTATCACATAAAGGTCGCTTCCAGACTTTTGGCTGTAACAAATGAAATATTCATAAAAAGAACTAGATTTTATGAGAAGTTAAAACTAACCGTGAGTAAATAATCACGTCATCATCAATGGCCTGAATGTTAAGCTCTCCTTGACGGAAGGACGGCTCCTTTCGAACGCGCACTAATTTCTTGAAGATCTGCAAGTGAGACCGGGGAGCCCGCAGCTGCTGCAGGGCATTATTGGTCTTATAGTCCTCGGCCACAGGCAGCCAGGTGTGATCGGCACTGGTGAAACCTAAGAGAAAGGATGTTTATAGTAATACATGATGCTCTTTATAAATTGTATCACTCACCTGCGAGAGAAGAGGCATCCCATTGGTAGGGTGTACGTTCCGGATCACGAGTGCGTTCATAATAGTTATCAGGATCCGAGTTACATGCAGGAGGATCCACTGTATCCTCCCAGCTAATCCAGACATCGGTCATTCCCAGCTCCTCGCCGTTGTAGGTGACGGCATGTCCAGGCAATGTCTGGAGCAGGATGTTGATGAGATCGGTACGCTGGATTCCCAGTCGGGAGGCCACTCGCTTGTTGTCGTGGTTACCCAGCACCCAGTTGGCGTAGACACCTACCGGCATGGCGTTCATCCACTTGGTAATGTGTTCCACATAGTCACCAGCGGTCGAGGTATTAGAGATGCTCGTCAGGAAGTCGAAATTGAAGGGAATGTGGGATCCGTTCCTCACTCCATTGCCGTAGTACAGCATGATGTTTTCGAAGCTGGTGTAGGCCTCAGTCATCAGGAGTCTCTTGTCGCCGCCGTTTTCCTCCTGGAACTCATCCACCAGCTCGCGCCACTGGTAAACCATGTCGATGGTCTCCGGCTGGTCTTGGGTGTAAATGTGCTGGGTGTAACAGTGGTCATCCGGGTCCGGGCAGCTTACTGGATCATTGGTAAGGGGCTCATCGGGGTACTGGTTGTAGCGATCGAGGTCAACCTCAAACAGGTAGGGCACGGCATCGATACGGAAACCGGAAACACCTTTGGCCAACCAGAAACGAATCACGTTCTTCATTTCATTGACTACGGCCGGATTGCGGTAGTTCAGATCCGGCTGTTGGACCGTGAACTGGTGGAGATAGTACTGCTGACGGACTTCGTTCCATTCCCAGGCACTGTAGCGGAACTCTGAGTTCCAGTTGCTGGGGGGCTCCCGCTCGCCGGTCTCGTTGTTAATCTTGCCGTCGTGCCAGATGTAGAAATCCTTGTAGGTGGGGTCGCTGTCCACCGACTTGGTGAACCACTCGTTTTGGTCACTGGAGTGGTTGGGCACAAAGTCTAGGATTATCTTGATGCCCACCTCCTTGGCCTTGGCAATCATGTTCTCGAAATCCTCCATGGTGCCGTACTCTGGGTGGATGTTGTAGAAGTCCGAGATATCGTAGCCAAAGTCCACCATGGGTGACTTGAAAATGGGCGACAGCCAAGTGGCCGTGAAACCGATGTCCTTGAGGTACTGCAGCTTCTCTGTGACGCCATTCAAGTCGCCGATGCCATCGCCATCCGAGTCCCGGAAAGATCGGGGGTAGATTTGGTAGTAATTGCCACTCTCCCACCACTCGGTGGCTCCCACGAAGCCCACCAGGGCGAGCAGTAGACACGCTGCCGATTGAAGCCGCATTTTGTTCGAATTTGTTCGCTGGCCGACTTGTCAGCCGACTTTTATACAGCTCGATAAGGTGGCTCCTATCAAGATCTGGCCCATTTGGAGTGGCCATTTGAATTGCTGCACAAACACGACACCTGACTTCTCAGGCCGCTCAAGTTCTCAAACCCAAATTATCATTGTTTTCGTACTCCCAGTGACTCTACTTTACGTAAAACGATTAACTCACCATTGAATTCTGATTGCTGGAAAAATTCCGATGATAGCTCTGTGTATCTTCCTTAAAAGTTCCGTTTACACTGTTTCGGTTGGGTCTCTCAAGAGGCTATTAGTCAGCTGATAGGAAAAGAAAAACAACTGGCCCAAATCCCGCTCCTTCAACTGCAACACTGAAAATAGGTAGTTGGTTCAATGGTTTTGTGGAAATACACTAGAGATAACCTTGCCAAAGTTCTCTGGGTCATTTTTGGCGTGACAAAACATAATCATTGTTGCAGAAATGTTAAACGTATTGTTGTTACTATCTATGTCAATCAAGTATCTCTGATAAGTGCGGTTTCTAGCTTGAGTAACTAAATCATTTCAGGCCGAAAGACATTAGGGAAGTACTTATACCTCGAGGAGATAAAATTGTATTACCTGGAAAACAAAATAGTTTTATAATCTGAAATATAAAGCCATATCGTTATTTGGGTACTCAATTATTGATAAGTGTTTATATGGTAAGTTTGATTCATTTATATGGTCTAACTTTATTAATTTACACACTTGGTAAGCAAAGTTAAATTTTAGATTTTATATACTTCTTAAAAGCAAACTAGTACAATTACAAAACAAACTCTGATGCTAACAGTCATCGGGTGCCAATAAACACATTCTAACTTAAAAGCTATATTTAATTTTAATCGATTAAATTAGCCAATATTAGCCCAATCGGAGCTTTTGACATGTGAGGTGTTTGTTGACTTTTGGTGGAAACATTTCCTAAAGGACACATCAATAACCCCTAACCCGTTTGAAGTACCTAAAAAAGGAGGCCAAATGGCAAGCGTGGATTTTAATTGAATTAAAACCACTTGCTAGTGGTTGGCTTCTGACGGTTTAATCAGCAAGTGTAATTCAACAGAAACTGCAAGCTCCTGTTGGAGAGGATTCAAGGATACTACATGGAAATTATATTCACTTTTTGCATCAGGAATCGGAATCTACTTTATGCCGCATACATTTGAATAGCAATGCGGGAAAAGTGTCTAATTAAGTGCTTTTGCGGAGCTGTGCATTCGGTATGCATGGGTGGAAAACTAATTTATTTAAAAGCAACTTCACAACTCAAATATTTTAGAGAGCTCGTTTATAAAATTAGCGGGAATTTTAGAAGTTACTTTCGTATTATTTAGTAACACCTTGTGGTAGTTCTGTTTTGAATTTTTAACTCGTTTTTAGAACCATTTTAACTATCCTTTAGTGGCTCCCTTTAGTGGAGCTCCTCTGTATTTATTTTCGAGTATTACTAAGGGTATTGATCCAGTATCAGAATGCGTGGCTTGTCAGCGATTCATTCCTGCAATCGTATTTAACATTTTTATGGCAATTTTACGACACTTCGCGCTTTAGTGGAATATCCAATAAAATGGACGCAAGGAGAGCCCGGAGGAGGCAAAGCCCTGCCCGCGGTTATTTAATCTAGCAAATATGCGATAAAACACTGACAGATTACCAGTTGGTCGGAACAATTGCGGCCTTATCGGAGTTCCAATCGCGACATGGCCGGGCAATTGTTATTAGCAAATTGAGTTTGGCCCACTCAAACGCTATCGAAATGCCAAAGTGGGCACATCTCGGCCTGGTGACTCTCCTTCTGCTTTCCGCCGCCTTGGCGGGTGGTTCCGACATCGATTGGTGGGAAAACGCCGCCCTGTACCAGATTTACCCGCGCTCCTTCCAGGACAGCGATGGCGATGGCATCGGCGACCTGAAGGGAATCACATCCCGGCTGGGCTACCTTAAGGAAATCGGCATTACAGCTACCTGGCTGTCGCCAATTTTCACCTCGCCAATGTCAGACTTTGGCTACGATATCTCCAACTTCTACGACATCGATCCGATATTCGGTACTCTGTCAGACTTCGATGCTCTGATCGTCGAGGCCAAGTCGCTGGGCGTGAAGATCATTTTGGACTTTGTGCCCAATCATTCGAGTGATGAGAACGAGTGGTTCGAGAAGTCGGTGAATCGCGAGGAAGGATACGACGACTTCTATGTGTGGGATGACGGAAAGCTAAACGAGGCTACGGGCGAAAGGGAGGCACCCTCGAACTGGATCTCAGTGTTTGGGGGACCCATGTGGACGTGGAACGAGAAACGCCAGCAGTACTTCCTTCACCAGTTCCAGGTAAAGCAGCCCGACCTCAACTTCACCAATCCAATGGTAAGGGAGCACATGCTCGACGTGCTCAAATTTTGGCTGGATCGTGGAGTGGACGGATTCCGTATCGATGCAGTGCCCCACATCTATGAGAGGCGCGATGCCGACGGCTCGTATCCGGATGAGCCGATAAGTGGGTGGAGCAGTAATCCGGAAGCCTATGACTACCATGACCACATCTACACCAAAGACCAACCTGCCACCGTTGATCTAATGTATGAATGGAGGGCTTTTTTGGATGCCTATCGGGCGGAGAATGGAGGCGATTCCCGAGTACTTTTGGCTGAAGCTTACTCCTCTGTGGAAACTCTGAGCGCCTACTTTGGCAACAGTACCCACCTCGGTACTCAGCTGCCCATGAACTTCCAGCTGATGTACTTGAATGGCTACTCCACCGCCAAGGATGTGGTCGGATCCATTGACTACTGGATGAACACCATGTGGAAGGATCACCAGACGGCCAACTGGGTAGTCGGAAACCACGACAATATTCGAGTGGCCGATCGCTTAGGAGCCCACAAGGTGGATCTGCTGAATGTAATAGTTAACGCCCTGCCAGGAGCATCGGTTACGTACTACGGCGAGGAGATTGGCATGTCCAACGTGGACATCGAGTGCACCGGCGACTCCTGTGAGGACCGTGATGGAGAACGGACCCCCATGCAGTGGACACCAGGACAGAACGCTGATTTCTCTGCGGGAGAAACAACCTGGTTGCCCGTGAATCCAGATTACGTAAGGTACAACGTGCAGACTGAACGTGGAGTTTCACGATCTTCACTTAACATCTTCAAAGGACTCCAGGCATTGAAGAGTAGCTCTGCCTTCCTGGCGTTTAAGGAAGAGGGTGGTTTCTCCTATGAAGCCGTCACAGAACAGGTACTGCAGATTATTCGGTAAGTAAATAATAATCTATAAAGAGTTCGTTTTAAAAGAAACATCTTTCTATTCAAGTACAAACAAAATCAGCGAGGAATATCGGATTCTGGTAAACATGGGCAACAACATGGAGATCTTGGATGGCCTAGACTCCAAAACCTACGAATATGTCTTGCTTACTGCTTACTCACCACGTTATCCGGGGTAGGTTATCATATTAAGAATGTATCATGAACTTGTTTCATATAGTTATTATTAATTATCCTCAGGAACACTGTAAACCTAAAGGAGAGAATCATTCTCATGCCATACGAGGCCGTAGTTTTGCATTGGCATGCCTGAAGTATTTTTATTTGATTAAAATTAACTTTAAAAACAAAATATTGTATATTTCTTAATCAATAACTGCGTTGGGGACCCCCATAAAGATATGGCTCGCCGGTTATATCAGCCGTTGGGTGCATGTGATTCGCGGCGACTGAACTTTGAGTGCCAATTACGTAAATCTAGATTGCAGGACCACCTACTTGAGACCCCCTAGATATAGCGTTCTGATATGGAACTAGGAACTATTACCTTGGGGATTAATCTCGAAAACGAACCCTAAGAATTTGTTCAATCGGATTATTATGATTGGGGCTAATTGCCCAATGAATTTAATAGCTATTAGTACGAGTTTTCAGTTTTTTCCGGTCTAATCAGTGCTATACGACTTTGTGTGGTCTATCAAAACGATAAGCCTCGCATTAGGTAATAAATATCGGAAAGTCCCATGAATATTTGTTTATAAATCGTATTTTATTGTTTTAAAAGACCTACTAAATAAGTTTAAACCGTGCTGAGAACGACGGCCTCCTTGGGCAACAGCAGCACAGAGTTGGCAAAGGTGAAGTCACTGTGGAGGTCAACGGGGTTAAATATAGTCTTTAATATTTGGTTTTTTAACTCACTTCTTGCGGCGGACACTCTTGTCGTTTACCACGACATACTGCAACTGCGTGGAGATGGAAGTGAAGACGGAGTCCAGATCGATCGTCTCGACATCATCGTTAATGTTGATGACGGCAATGTAGGACTTCTGTCCGGCCAAGGAGCTAATGAAAAGGAGCAACAATTGGTATGGAAAAAAAGGTAAATCAGTTCAAGAATTTACCGCTTGATGGCCAAAACATTGGGTCCAATGGCTGTCACTGTGGTATCACCCTGCTTCAGAGTGGGCTCATCCCTCAGAGCGCGAAGCTGTTTGAAGATGTTCAAGTGGCTAAGAGCGATTCCACGCTCCCGCTTCACATTGACCAGCTTGTAGTCCGAACCGACTGGCAGCCAGGTGGAGGAAGCGTTGGAGAAGCCAGCGTTCTGCTCGTCGTTCCACTGGAAGGGAGTACGCACGGGGTCGCGAGTGAGTCGCTCAAAGTCATCCTCGTTGGACTGGCAGGCCTGGGGATCCACTGTGTCCTCCCAGCTGATGTACACGTTGGTCATGCCCAGCTCCTCGCCCTGGTAAGTGATGTCGATGCCGGGAAGGATAGATTTGATTATGTTAACAGAATCGATTCTGTCGGCTCCCAGACGAGTTCCGATGCGACTCTGGTCGTGGTTACCAAACACCCAGTTGGCCACCTGTCCCTCAGGCATGTTGTCCAGCCAGTTGTGGATCAGCTCGGAGTAGTGGTAAGCGTCCGAATTGTAGTTGATATTGGCCAGCATTTCGAAGTTGAATGGAATCTGGGAACCGTTATGGGTGCCGTTGCCGTAGTACTGCATCAGGACGTCCAGTGGGGAGTAGGCCTCAGTGAGCAGGATGCGATCATCGCCACCAAGTTCAAGGTCCATCTCCTCAATGACATCACGGAAGGCGTAGACCAGTTCGATGGTCTCAGGCTGGTTGGTGGTGTAGATGTGCTGCAAGTAGCTGTAGTCCTCTGGGTCATCCACAGCCTCGTTGCGGGGCTCATCGGGCCAGTTGCCATCAGCATCTGCGGACACTTCAAATACGTGGGGCACAGCATCGATGCGGAATCCATAGGCTCCCTTGCGCAGCCAGAAGCGCAGGACATCCTTCATGGCCTCCACCACCTGGGGGTTGCGGTAGTTAAGATCAGGCTGCTTTGCGTGGAACTGGTGCAGGTAGTAGGCCTGACGCTGCTCGTTCCAGGTCCACATGTCGCCACGGAACACACTGATCCAGTTGGTGGGCGGTTGGCGGATGCCATTCACCACTTTGCCAGTGTGCCAGACATAGAAGTCCTTGTACTCCTCCTCGCCGGCAGCGGATCTGATAAACCAGTCACACTCATCGCTCGTATGGTTGGGCACAAAATCGAGGATAATCTTGATGTCCAGCTCCTTGGCTCGAGCCACTAGTTTCTCAAAGTCCTCCATGGTGCCGAAGATTGGGTCGATATCCTTGAGATCGGCGACATCATAGCCAAAGTCAGCCATGGGAGAGGTGAAGATGGGGGATAGCCATGTTGCAGTAATGCCGATTTCCTTAAGATACGGCAACTGTTCGGTGATTCCTGATGGAGGAGGACGTTCCCTTAATAGGTCTGCCAGCAAATAAGGCTCTCAACTCACCATTAAGATCACCTATTCCGTCTCCATCGCTGTCCTTGTAGGACCTTGGGTAGATCTGATACAGCTGGGCGTTTTTCCACCAGCCCACTTCCGCCAACGTGGGCAGAGCCAGCGCCAAGAGGCAGCAGAGCACCGAAAACTTAACCATGACTCCCGTAGAATCAATCGACTACCAATGGCCCGTCGGATTAGGCAGTGCCCCTATTTATGCACATCAGCAGGGGGTTGATAAGGAGGCGATAAATAAGCCCCACCATATAAGAAACTATTCCTGATTAGCTCCAACCCGTTGGCAGATTTACGATCCCCGCTCGTTTTCAGCAATAGGGCTCTTATGATATGGTCATTCTGGAATTTATTGGCACCTGGACGCAGTGGAGTCAGATTTGTGGTTATTTTGAACTGGCTCACGCGAGAAGATCATGAGACAGATTGGCAGTTGCATATTGACCATATCTTATCGAATTTGGAATAATGGTAACTGGAAATTCTTGGGGGTGAATAATTTATTGAGTCACTTCTATTGGGGGTACATTGTGGGATGATAAAAGGGAGACTGTGGGGTTCAAGGCCGTGATAAGAAATGGGAAGAACACATATTTTTGAGAAACATAAGGTAGGTCGTTAGAACCAAAACTATGGCCAATCTTTCATCTTATCACGAATATAAGAACGGGATGAATTGGAACTATTTGCTATTTAAATTTAAAGTGCACTTAGCTGCGGTGAATCCCAAACTTTCCCTTACAATTAAATGCACATTCACTTATATTTTCCAGTCAAAGGTCCCCCCATATATTTTCCCCAGGTGGTCGTATGTGTTTTCGTCAAAAAAAATTTGATCCCGAACGATAAGGTTTAACATCGTGTAGATTATGACGAAGGCTCCATGGTGGCTGGTATATAAACAACCACTAATAGCCCCAGTACTATTAGTTAACAATGACTACTTGGACTAAAGTGTTCTTGCTAATAGGCCTTGGCCTTCTGGCGGTCGATGCGGCGGCACCCTGGTGGAAGACAGCCTCCTTCTACCAGATCTATCCTCGTTCCTTCAAAGATACCAATGGCGACGGAGTTGGGGACTTGAACGGAGTCACCGAAAAGTTAGAGTATCTGAAGGAGATTGGCGTTACGGCCACATGGCTGTCACCTTTCCTCAAGTCACCTATGGCCGACTTTGGATATGATATATCTGACTTCAAGGAAGTGGATCAACTGTTCGGAACTATGGAGGACTTCGAGAACATGGTGTCCCGTGCCAAGGAGCTTGGTGTTAAGATCATTCTTGACTTTGTGCCCAACCACTCGAGCGACGAGTGCGACTGGTTCCTCAAATCGGCTGCCGGCGAGGAGCAGTACAAGGACTACTACATTTGGCACCCGGGATTCGTTGATGAGGATGGAAACCGCCGCCCACCCACCAACTGGGTGAGCGTGTTCCGTGGCAGTGCCTGGGAGTGGCATGAAGGTCGCCAGGAGTATTACTTGCACCAGTTCCACAAGAAACAACCGGACTTTAACTTCCGAAACCCTGTGGTGCGTGAGGAGATGAACAATGTGCTCCGGTTCTGGTTGGAGAAGGGTGTCGATGGTTTCCGTGTGGATGCCATTTATCATGCCTTTGAGATCGAAGCCGACGAGAATGGAAACTATCCGGATGAGCCCCGCAACGACTGGACCGATGATCCAGATGAGTATGGATACACGCACAAGATCTACACCGTTGACCAGCCGGAGACTCCCCATTTGGTGTACGTTTCTGTTAGTTAATGTAAAATATTATAAGTCTTTAATGTAATATTTATTTAACAGCTACGAATGGCGCCAAATCCTAGAACAGTTCCAAGCTGATAATGGCGGCGATGAGCGGTAAGTAATCGTTAATTACTCTAACAAAGTATAATAAACACCTCGTAACTAATCTGTAGCATTCTCATGGTGGAAACCTGGTCCCCCATCGAGATCGTTATGGACTACTATGGCAACTCTACCGCCGATGGTGCCCAGATACCATTTAACTTCCAGCTGATAAGCAATCTGCACTACGACTCCGATGCCTATCATTACGAGTACCTGATTAACAACTGGCTCAATCTGATGCCCGAAGGCAAGAGCGCCAACTGGGTGGTAAGTATAAGAGGGGATTGGCCATTAGTCACGTCGCTAATCGAATCGATTAATTACTATTCGATCAGATTGGCAACCACGACAAGAACCGAGTGGGCTCCCGTTTCGGTGCCGATCGCGTGGATCTGTTCAACATCCTGCTCCTAACCCTGCCCGGGTGCAGCATCACCTACAACGGTGAGGAGCTAGGCATGCTCGATGGCTATGTGTCCTGGGAAGACACCGTCGATCCGCAGGCCTGCAACGGCTATGAGGCAACCTACATGGACAACTCCCGAGACCCGGCTCGCACTCCGATGCACTGGTCCGACGAGACGCTGGCTGGATTCACTACGGGGAACAGCACCTGGTTGCCAGTGGCTTCCGACTATACCCAGCGTAATGTGAAGACCGAACGTGGAGTATCTTTGAGCCATTTGAATGTGTTCAAACGACTGCAGGCTCTGCGCCAGGAGCCCAGCATTGCGGAAGGATCTGCCGAGATCAAGGCGGTGAGCAACTATGTTTTGGCTGTCAAGCGGTGAGTAAATTAATGTTTTTCATGGTGTACTAGTATAGTTTTAAAATATATCCGTTTTTTAGCCACCTGAGCGGCGACTACGTTTACATCTCTCTGTTCAACATCTTCGACTCGATTGAGAATGTCAACCTGTCCAATGTTTTCGACGATCTTCCCCAGAAGTTCCAGTATGCTCTGGTCACCGAAAAGTCCATCAAGAAGGTCGGAGATCAGTTGTCCACCAGCAGTGTCACCCTCATGCCTCATGAGTCCATTGTTCTGCGATCCACAGTGACCGTTTAAGGTTAATAATGCTTCGATAAATAAAAATTATTGCACATTTTAATTAAGTTTATTTACTCAGGGGATGCAGGAATTTATTTTGTATGAGTAACTTAAATTTAAATATATTATTATTTAAATTTATTTGAACCATAATTTATTTGTAAATAAATCGGTATTTTATTAGAGAGATGTGGTATATATTTTTAGTTTTAAAATTACTTTAAGATTACAAAAATGATAGCCCCTTATACATACGATATGCTTTTCAAGATTCCGTGATAAACACTGCATAACACACTGCATGTATATATTTATAGACATATGTGATAATAATATATATCACTCATTACTTATAGCTTATTATTGAGAAGCCCCATAAAATAACTCGAAGAGGGGACACTACCAGCAACATATAATAGGGTTTATATTTGAGGGTTCTATTCTATTAAAACTGTAAATATTTTCTATCGGCTCTTATTTTTCTCCCACTCTCAAATCGTTCTATTTTTCTCTCTTTATTTATAAATAAAATATATATACGAAAGTTTAGCCATGTTATCATGGGCGTCGATGCTGACTAAAAAAGGGGATGAAGTAACTATTTATATTTAAAATGATGACCCTTTTTCAAGTCAATATCCAAGTAATAGTAATTTATAGATCCCCTTGTTGACTACGTCTCTGATTGATTTTTTTTTCGTCGTCGTCTCTGTACTTAAGTGAGCTTTGCATTTGCATCCGATCGCCAGTCGCGTTTGTTTACTCACTCAGGAAAGATTAAATAAAAAGCAAAAATTTGCCCGTTTGTCAATCTGCGGGCATTATGATTTCGCACCGACTGGGGGCCGTGCTGTTTGTACTGCTTCATATTTTTGGCGTAAGCTGGAGTCAACCATTTCCCAACTACCATGTGGACTTTGAGGATATTTTGAAAAAGAATGAAGGACCGAAATGGTGGCAGACCGGTGCCTTCTATCAGATTTATCCAAGGTCATTCAAAGACAGCAATGGTGATGGTGTTGGCGATCTAAATGGTGTGGTTAACTAAATAGCTTATATACATATCTATCAATATAGTACATCGTATTACTTTTTGTATAGGTATTGCCGATAAACTGCCCTACCTCAAGGAACTGGGAATCACGGCCACTTGGCTTTCGCCCATTTTCACTTCACCCATGGCCGATTTTGGATACGATATTGCCAATTTCACAGAGATTGCTCCCATATTCGGAACAATGTCCGACTTTGAAAACCTAATGAAGGTGGCCAAGAAGCTGGATATCAATATAATTCTGGACTTTGTGCCCAATCACTCCAGCGACGAATGCGAGTGGTTTCGTCGTTCGGCGGCCAAGGATCCAGAGTTCAAGGATTTCTACGTGTGGCATCCTGGGCGGGTAGTGAACGGTGTTCGCCATCCTCCATCGAATTGGATCAGTGTTTTCCGCGGCAGTGCCTGGGAGTGGCACGAGGGTCGGCAGGAGTACTACTTGCATCAGTTTGTGAAGAAGCAGCCAGATCTCAATTATCGTAGCCCCAAGGTTCGGGAAGCCATGAATGTAAGTCACATTAAATATATTACTAAACATTGTTAAAATATAATGTATTTTTGTTATTTTCCTATAGAATGTTTTGCGCTTTTGGCTGGCCAAGGGCGTCTCCGGTTTTCGTATCGATGCAGTGCCTCATGTCTTCGAGATAGCGCCCGATGCCCAGAGTCAGTACCCCGACGAGCCGCGCAATGATTGGAACAACGACCCCGAGGACTACGGTTATCTGCAGCACATTTATACGGTGGATCAGCCGGAGACCATTGACCTGGTTTACTCGTGGAGAGCCGTGTTAGATGCCTTTGAATACGAGAACGGTGGGGAGGAGCGAATCTTGATGGCCGAGACCTATTCACCCATCGATATCGTAATGAAATATTACGGAAATGGCACGACGGAAGGCGCCCAGCTTCCGTTTAACTTTCTTTTGATAAGCGAGCTATCCAACTCTTCAAATGCCCACGACTATGAAAGTACAGTGATGAAATGGCTCCAAAACATGCCCGAGGGTCGCACCGCGAATTGGGTGGTAAGTAAAAAGAACCTTTTACTCTAAGAGACTATTACCAATGACTTTATGACCCCCAGCTTGGCAACCACGACAAGCCCCGTGTTGGCTCCCGTCTGGGCAAAGATCGGGTTGACATGTTGAACATGCTCACCGCTACTCTTCCTGGCGCTAGTGTCACCTACCAGGGCGAGGAGCTGGGCATGACGAATGTATGGATCTCCTGGAAGGACACTGTGGACCCTTCTGCCTGCAACACCAATCCCAGCATCTACGAGCAGTTTACCCGTGACCCGGAGAGGACACCATTCCAGTGGAGCAAGGCCCAGGATGCAGGATTCAGCAATGCCAGCAAGACGTGGCTCCCGATTGCCTTGGACTATAAGCAGGTCAATGTGGAGCAGGAACGGCAGCGTCCTCTGAGTCACTTGAATGTTTTCAAACAGCTGTGGCAGCTGAGGAAAGAATCCAAAACACTACAACTTGGAAACACGAAAGTCAAGGCCGTCAGCGATGGAGTTCTGGCTGTGTTGAGGTCAGGAAAGTGAGACTTTATACAGAAAGGTAATACATAAAGTTTTTTTTAACAGATCCCACCAAGAAGACTATGCTTTATTGACTGTACTAAACCTTTTCGATGGAGTTGAGACAGTCAACCTGACACAAAGCTTCCCAGGTCTTCCAGCACAATTCAAAGTTCTGGTAATCACAGAACGATCTACAGCCAAAGTGGGGTAGGTCAAGTGGGTAGAATTGGAAAATTGTATATAAACTCTTGTTTTTTATTTATAGTGATCTCGTAAACTCTTCATCACTGCAACTACACCCCAAGGACTCTCTTATCCTTCAGTCCACCTCATCATACTATAGTTACGCCACTAATGGAGAGGTTCGCTTGCTTCCTGTGCTCGGCGTTTATCTCTTTCTGGCTCAAGTGGTACTCTATGTGAGCAATCGATGAGTCGAATATTTTGTTCCAGCTGCTGGTATATAATTGAATACTCAAAATAAAGGCAGTCAAAATACTTGAGCTTATCGGGGGAAGATCTTTGGGGAGCTTGGCTATAAAAGACGGGCCATTGCGGCGAGGTGGTCAGTAAGTGATGGCGTGCCTAAAAAACATAATCGTAGCGTTGCTCGTTCTGGGCCAGCAGTGTGCCCTTGGGCGATCGGCGGCCGTAGACCTGGAGGAGCTCGAAAGGGCTTCCACCACTACAGATAGCACTCTGGATTGGTGGCAGACCGCGCAGTTCTATCAGATCTACCCGCGCTCCTTCAAGGACTCCAACGGTGATGGCATTGGAGATCTGCAGGGCATTATCTCGAAGTTGGATTACCTGAAGGAGATTGGAGTGACGGCCACTTGGTTGTCGCCCATCTACACCTCGCCAATGGCAGATTTTGGCTACGATATCTCTGATTTCTTCGACATCCAGGAGGAGTACGGAACTCTGGCGGACTTTGATGAACTAATCCTGGAGGCCACCAAGCGAAACATCAAAATTGTTATGGACTTTGTGCCCAACCACTCGAGCGATGAGAATGTCTGGTTCCAGAAGTCTGTAAAGCGGGAAAAGGGCTATGAGGATTACTATATGTGGCACGATGGCTACATCAACGCTACCACTGGTGAGCGGGAGCCTCCTTCCAACTGGCTGCAGGCCTTCCGGGGAAGCGCCTGGGAATGGAACGAGGAGCGGGGCCAGTACTATCTCCACCAGTTCGCTGTGAAGCAGCCGGATCTTAACTACCGCAACCCCGCCGTGGTCGCGCAGATGAAAAGGGTGCTCACCTATTGGCTCGATCGTGGAGTGGCTGGGTTCCGTATGGATGCCGTGCCCTGGTGCTTCGAGGTCTTACCCGACGCAAATGGACGTTATCCCGATGAGCCCCTCAGTGGCTACACGGACGACCCGGATGACTCCTCGTATTTGAAGCACATTTACACCCAAGACCTGTATGAAACGGTTGACATGGTGTACCAGTGGCGCACTCTTATGGACGACTACCAGCGCATCCACGGAGGCGATACCCGCGTCATCATGGTGGAGACCTACTCTGGTCTGGACTACGTAATGCAGTTCTACGGAAATCGCACCACCAAGGGTGCTCAGATTCCCTTTAACTTCCAGTTCATCATTGGTGGCAATGGCGATAAAAATAATACTCAGCTAAATGCGGCCGGTTTTGTGAAGATCATCAATAGTTGGCTAACTCAGATGCCAGCTTCCAGGACAGCTAACTGGGTGGTAAGTTTAAGGCCAAATAAGTTTTTTTCCGTATATTTTATTTCATTCCTGATCCTTAGATGGGAAATCATGACCAAAGGCGTGTTGGCAGTCGGTATGGGGAGAACCGTATTGACCTGATGAACATGCTCCAGATGTTCTTGCCAGGCGTCAGCATCACCTACCAGGGCGAGGAGCTGGGCATGACGGATCTGGACATCAGCTGGGAGGACAGCCGGGATCCGGCGGCTTGCAATTCCAATGCGGACATTTATGAACAGTTTACCCGAGATCCTGCCAGAACTCCCTTCCAGTGGAGCGATGAGGCCAACGCTGGCTTCTCTACCAATGCGACCACCTGGCTACCTATCAACCCGAACTATGTGACGGTGAACGCAAAAACGGAAAACGCCACAAGTCCCAGTCACTTGAGCCTGTACAAGCAGATGGTGGAGCTCCGAAAGCTTAAGACTCTGCAGTCAGGATCCACTCGATACGCGAACGTTGGCGAGAATCTGTTGGCCATCAAGAGATCGCTGACCGGAGAGGCTACCTATGTTCTGGTGGCCAATGTTCTGGACACTAGCGTTTCTGCTCTGGATGTGGCCAGTGCCCTGTATGCCCAGGGCAACTACAAAATCAAGTTGGCCAACCCGCAGGCCACTGCCACCGTTGGGTAAGTCCTATTTGGCTTATGACTCAAAAATTAAACCTCAAGTAATTTACGAAATTTTATATCCACAGTGACAGCGTTACCCTGAGCAACTTGTCGCTGGAGCCATATGCGGCCCTCATCTTGGAGTCTGTCTAGAGTTTACATAATCATAAGTTTTAAAAGAACAACATGCCACAACATACATAAAGTACATCGATAATGTGGCCTTTTATATGGGCGTATAAGTCATTGGGGCGAACGACATTGGAAAACTTTTCAATTTTAAGGTCGCGTGCTGGGGGACGGAGATGGAAACTTATTATAAATTATTAAGGAACTTTGTCCTGGTTCAAGAGTCAGGCGACGGTGGTGGGGCAAAAGAAATTCCATTAGACGTGATTGATAAGACACACAAATCACGCATACGCAGCGTTGCCGCCGCACAAAAACCAAAGCACTGTCGAAGGTGTCTCGGAAATGAGGCGAACAGTGGCAAGTGTAAGTGCTTGTAGGCGTGGCACTTGTGTGTGTTTAGGTGTGGGTGTGGGTGTGTGGAAGTTTGCGTGGTTCAACTCGCTGTTTTTGACAGTTGAGGTGGCCAAAAGAGAAAAAGGACCAACCACACGGTTGGCTTTTTAATTTTCGCAGAAAAATGAAGTAAGATCTTGAATTTCCCCCATTTACCCCAGTCAGTGGCTATTTTTAGAGAAAATGTTTCCAACGGTGGAAAAATAACTTTAAATAGATCTGATTTATCATCATCAGCACTCAAAAGCCCAGTCCCTGCATGACATCAGCGGCAATTGGTCTGTCATCGGCTGGGTCCTTTTGCGGCATTAACCTTTGCCCCCCAAAAAGTGCCAACAACCCCAAAAGCCGACCTACGTGAGTGCCATTTGAATGAGCAAGTGCTCTTCACCCCAATTGGCCATTTCGGCCGTTCCGTCAACCCGTTAGTCGCCAGTTATGAGCCATGTTTGCGGTGCAATTAATGAGCGGCCAGCGATTAAATGAACTTCCAGGATCAGGTGAGTCCTGCCGTCCAGCCAACCAGCCGGCACGTGCCAAATCAGAAACCAAGCATCGGAGCTCGTTAGGAGCTCTGACATTATTAATATGCAAGCTCTGTCTGAGTGGATGAATACATTTACTACATAAATGTGCAAGGATGTGCCGGGATACTGCTGGGCCTGCTTCCGGCTTTTCGGGCACCCGAATCCTGCCAGATTACAACGGGCTTAATGCGTTTTCAAAGTTTTCCAATCGGAAGGGGAGCCAAACTTTTTACCAACCGGCGTAAATCTGCCAAAATCATCTTAAATGTAATCATTCGGTTTTGGCTCTTCAGACATTGTGATTCATTTCTTCTTTGGGAAATTAACTTCATTATTGGAACGAAAATGAAATGCACAAAAGCCAGGCGACTTTGCCGGGAGACTCACCTGATGGTTGGCTGCCTGCCGGTAGCCTGTCTGTCTGTCCGTTGGTCCTGCGGTTTTCATTTTCACAATTCCATATATATGTATGTGGCATCTTTTTTTAAGGTTTCTGGTCACGTGCGTAAGGGTAAAGTGGCCCAGGCAGTCGGAGCCGTGTCTGTGACCTTTTTAATGGGCTGACGGGTCACGCAGCCATTTACACGATTCCATTTTATTCATTTTTGTGGCCAGCCCGGCACAGACTGCTAATTTTTCAGCGCACTTCACACAATACTGGGCAAGTACAATCGCACAAATCGAATGGGCCCGGTATTATTTAAAAGGGAGAAAGTAATTTGTAAAGATTTTAAGAAGTAAACTCACTTAGCATTATGCTGAATGGGAAATTCAATCTGGGTTTTGTTCTCAAGCTAATCGCACGTAATGCCCCCTAAAGTCAGGTAATTATTTCAAAGTTCATTGAATTGTTTCCCTAGCCGGACCGGGAGCAAACTTTACCTTCATCCTGTTGCCTAAGCCTTCTTAACTTTTGCCACAAGCACTCAGACTGGAGTTGAAAACAAGAACTAGGTAAGTTAGAAAATCTTTGCAGCTGGCACATTGGGCGTATGCTTGATGCAGGGGTATCGCAACCGTCTGCCAATTACCATGTGTAAACGCAATTTAATTATTTATAACGCAATTGAAGTTCTACTCTCGGCTGCCCCGTTTTAAGAGGGCACAGGCGAGTGTAAATACTGTGGGGCTGCCCCAGAAATTTCCGAGATTGGTAATAAATCTCGCTGGCAAAATTGCCGGAGCTATCTGCATGAACTCATCAAGCCCCTCTCGAAGGTTTCGACTTCAAAGAGCCCAGGATGCTGGGGGATGCCAGCCAAAGTCCCAGTCCCAGTGCCAAGCCAAGCCAGGCCAGCCCAGGGATCTCTGTTTTATAGGCCTAGTCCCTCCTGGTCTTCGTCGACGTCGTCCTCGTCGACAACGTTGTCTGTATTTACATTGTGTAGCTCACACAGAGCCACATACACCCTGTTACATACTGGTTTTCTGTTCCTTTTCAAGCACACAAAGTATAAAACACGAAATACTTACCGAATAAGCCCCGGGGGGTTGGGGACTTGTGCTTGACTTTAATTTGTGTGTAAACACTTTAAACGGCGAACCCCACCGCCGAACGTGAATTAAAAGAGTATGCCGACCACTTGAGCTTATCTCCCACCAGGATATGTGTGCTGCCGCCTGGTTGGAGGTGGAGTGGCTTGTTTGTCTGGTTCTCTACGTATTTATTTATTTATTTATGCAAGCCACAGCATATTTGCCCAAGAGCCAAAGATAAATGCCAATTGAGTGGCCCGACCGAGTTTGCTTTTTTCAAGTGTATCGGATAGGAAATTCCATCCAATCGAACCAGGAAGAACTTCAGCTGCTGCTGTTCAGTACCAAGGCTTCGCCGGCAGCCAGACTTAGTCCAGTGACCTCAAACAGAGAACTGAAAATACATGTGGGTGAGCCAACACTAGAATATTGGTCAAAAGCCACAGGACTCACCCCTCCGCCTTGGCGGATTGCAGGCTACGAATGAGAAGTGTCAGATGCGTGGGCAGGGTCGTGTCAAAGTCGAGCAAGCTCACAGTCACACCCTTGCTGGCCAAGTTGGCCACGTAAATAATGGAATCAGAGCCGGTTAGGTATCTAAGTGATTTAAGTTAAAGACTTGACAGTAATTACTAATGGCTTAAATCTCTTACCGCTTCACCACAAATACATTGTCGGAAATGATTCCATATTTGGTGGATCCATTTTGGAGCGTAACTGAGGACTTTCTCAGAGCCACCAAGGACTTGTAGATACTGAGGTGAGAGCGCTGGGCTGCACTTTCTGTTTCCACATTCACCGTTTCATAATCCGCCGCTAGAGGCAACCAGGTCTTTGTCGCTGTGGAGAATCCTGCATTCGTACCACTCGTCCATTGGAAGGGAGTACGTGAAGGATCGCGGGTAAACTGCTCGTAGGTGTCCTGGTTAGAGTTGCAGGCCGCCGGATCCTGTGTGTCCTCCCAGCTAATTTCGCCATCGGTCATGCCGAGCTCCTCGCCCTGGTAGGTCACACTGGCTCCCGGCAGGACCATAACCAGCATATTCATAGCATCAGCGTTCGCAGTTCCATAACGACTGGCTGCTCTTCTCTGATCGTGGTTTCCGATCACCCAGTTGGCTGTGCGTCCCGCGGGCAGGTTGTCTAGCCAGTTGTCCACAGCGGTCTTGATAGAGCTCGCCGAGAAGCCATCGCTTGCCGGAACTGTAATCAGGTTGAAGTTGAAGGGCAAATGGGCTCCGACCACCGATCGGTTGCCGTAAAACTGCATCGTGTAGGCGGGAGGGGCGTAGGTTTCGATTAGCAATACTCTCGTATCTCCTCCATGGATACGCTGATAGTCGTCCATCACCACCCGCCACTGATACGCCATGTCAATGGTCTCCGGAAGGTTCTCGATCAGATCACTCTTCAAATAATTCCGAGCTTCGGTGTCGTTGGTCAGGCCACTCACCTCCTCGTCGGCATACTGTCCGTTCTCATCTGGCTCGATCTCGAAGAGTACGGGCACGGCATCACACCGAAAGCCAGCTACCCCGAGATCCAGCCAGTAGCGTAAAACCCGCTTCATTTGCTCCACCACCAGAGGATTACGATAATTTAGATCCGCTTGCTGGACGGCAAACTGGTGGAGGTAGTACTGCTGACGCACCTCATTCCATTCCCAGGCACTGCCTCGAAAAGCCTGGAGCCAGTTCGAAGGTGGCTCCCTCTCGCCAGTTTCCGCGTTGGTTTTGCCATCATGCCAAACGTAGTAGTCCTCATAGCCCTTCTCCCGATTTACTGACTTTACAAACCAATCATTTTCATCGCTCGAGTGGTTGGGAACAAAGTCCAGGATGATTTTCAGGTCCAACTCGTTGGCTCGCCTGATTAGGGCCTTGAAGTCGTCCAGGGTTCCGTACTCTGGCTGAATGTCAAAGAAATCTGAGATATCATAACCAAAGTCCACCATGGGGGAAGTGAAAATGGGTGACAGCCAGGCGGCTGTTACTCCAAGGTCCTTGAGGTACTCCAGCTTGCTGGTGATGCCGTTCAGATCACCAATTCCGTCACCATCGGAGTCCATAAAAGATCTGGGATATATCTGATAAAACTGGGCTGTTTGCCACCAGTCTTTAGAGGTGGTTGTGGTAGACGATGCATTTTCACAAGCCCAAATCGGCTGGATAAGGACAACTAGGCAGCACAGAGCCCCTAATAGTTTGGTGGGTATTCGCTGCATTTTGGTGACTTTTCGAAAATCAACAAGTGTTGGGACTTTTATAGGTTGGCGATGCGTAAAGTAATGGGTTGAGAGCTAGGGCTTAATTGATAAACATAAGGAATTAGGTGAATCACTTGGCAAAACACTCCAAAAGTACTTTAATGGAAAAACAAATCGGATACTATGTACTATATGTGTTCTACATTCGACATTAACCAATTTAAGTAACTTGAAGTAGAGCTCCGGCTTTTTCCATTATGTGAGCTTATCTAACTGATTACTTGAGTGTCCTATAAAAGAGCCCGTAACGCCGGGGGTCTTACCCAAAGTGTTTTGAATTTTCAACGTAGAAATGCGGTTGTTGCTGCTCCTTTCATTTTTTATATTTTCCGTTGGCGGAGGTAATGGCTGTCAGGTGACGAGCTCCTCCACAGAGACTACCAAGGACTGGTGGGAAACGGCCCAGTTCTATCAGATTTATCCTCGCTCGTTCAAAGACTCGGACGGAGATGGAATCGGCGACTTGAATGGCATAACTAGTAAGCTAGAGTATCTCAAGGATCTGGGAGTAACCGCGGCCTGGTTATCGCCCATTTTTACTTCTCCCATGGTGGACTTTGGCTATGATATTTCCGACTTTTTCGATATTCAACCGGAGTATGGAACTCTGGATGATTTTCGCGCCCTAATAAAAAAAGCCAAGGAACTCGATCTCAAAATAATTTTGGACTTTGTGCCCAACCACTCAAGCAATGAGAGCTCTTGGTTCAAGAAGTCCGTAAAAAGGGAAAAGGGCTACGAGGACTACTATGTTTGGCACGATGGCAAGATAAATGCCACCACTGGCGAAAGGGAACCTCCTACCAACTGGCTACAGTATTTCCGAGGCAGTGCCTGGGAGTGGAATGAGGAGCGCCAGCAGTACTACCTTCATCAGTTTGCTGTGCAGCAGCCAGACCTAAACTATCGTAATCCCTTGGTGGTGGACCAAATGAAACGAGTGCTCCGGTATTGGCTAAACGAAGGAGTTTCAGGATTCAGATGCGATGCTCTACCCCCACTATTTGAGGTGCTGCCTGATGCCGATGGCCAGTTTCCTGATGAGGTTGTGACCGGCGCCACCGATGATCCTGATGATCGCGACTACCTAACCACAACCTACATCGAAAATCAGCCTGAAACTATTGACATGGTTTATCAGTGGCGCACTGTCCTGGACGATCACAAGCGTATATTCGGTGGAAACAGCAGTGTCTTACTTATAGAGACATACTCAGCCGCCTGGTTCAGCATGCAGTTCTACGGCAATCGGACCACTGAGGGAGCCCACCTGCCCTTCAACTTCAATCTAATCACGGTGATGGAGCAAAAGGGCTTGAGTGCCAGTCACGTTCAGGAGGCCATAGATCTGTGGTTAAATAATATGCCAGCTGGAAGGACGGCCAATTGGGTGGTAAGTGCGGCAACATAACGCTTCAAATAAAATTAATATTTTCTTTAAAACCCAGATAGGAAACCATGACAAGAGAAGAGCGGCCAGCCGGTATGGAGTGGAGCACATCGACGCCATGAACATGCTGGTAATGGTTCTTCCTGGTGCCAGTGTCACCTACCAGGGCGAAGAGATTGGCATGACCGACGGGGAAATCAGTTGGGAGGACACTGTGGATCCCTGGGGCTGTAATTCCAATGCAGACATTTACGAGAATTACACCAGGGACCCGGAAAGAACGCCATTTCAGTGGACGGCGGGCAGCAATGCCGGATTCACAGATGGACCTTCCACTTGGCTGCCTCTCGCTGATGGCTATGAGACCGTAAATGTGGAAACGGAATCATCCGCAGACCGTTCCCATCTCAAGATTTACAAATCGTTGGTGGCTCTGCGAAAATCATCAAAGACCCTTCAGAATGGATCTACCAAATATGGGGTTGTAGAGGAGGATGTTTTGGTTATACGACGGTAAGGATATCAAAGAGACTTCTTCAAGAATTAATTAATTATAAAAATTACCTTTTCCAGATCACTTACCAACTCACCTACCTTAGTGGCCTTAATTAATTTTGGAACGGAAACCAAAACAGTCGATGTAAGCCAGTTTGACAAGAATCTTACAGCCAAACTGAAGTTGCTGATACGCAGTCTGGACTCCACCAAGACGGAAGGGTAAGTGGTTCATACTTAAGACCTTCCAGATTTATATATATTTTCGTTTTTTCGACAGCACTGAGTACGATCCTCTCTCCTTAAGCATCGAGCCTGCGGAGGCCTTGCTTCTTACCACCGAATAAAAGTCAATTCTTAAACAGGAAGTTGGTTTTGGATTCTTTGATAATCGTCTTGCTTTATTCGTAAATACAAACATACATATATGCAGCCAAATAACATTTAGCATATTGTTGTCAATATTATTAATAGCTATAAATCGAGTAACTTATTTGAGAGACATTCAAATCTTGGATGTTCCATGGGGGTCTCAATAACACACACATAGAAAACGAATACATTTCGCTAATATTTAAAGGAACCCCATGACTTGGCTAGACATGATTCACATTTCTTAAGTACTTTAACAAATATTTAACTACGCGTATTGGAGATAGCACATTTCGAGTGGAAAGTTGCACACAATTAACATTAATTTGTATTCACATCAAAGTATATAACTATAAGTAGAGTTATGATCCTGTATGTACACCTTAGATGGACAACAATTAAATCTACCATGTTGATGGGCTCAAACAACACAATAAATGCAATTGTAATTGTTCTAACTAGCTGGATTTGGATTTGGATTCGCCTTCACTCGACTTGCCGCTACATTGCAAAGGGGCTGGCTCCCAGCCCTTTTGGAACATAATTGCGCCCCTCCTCCTTATTCGGTGCTCACTGTACAGCTTTGCCTTTCTTATTCTACATTTTTTTTTTCAATTACTATTCAGATAGTTTGTTAGCTTGTTTCGGTTGTAGAAAACACATTTTTGAAATTATATCACATTTTTTGTCATTTTTTTTGTTTCGTTTGCAACTCTTTGAAACAACGCTTAGAAAACTAGATAAGCTTAAAGATTAAACACTTATTAACAGTAAAGGAATGACTATTCTGACATATCTGTAGGTTTTTATATATAATTTCCTATGCTAGTTAAGTGGCGGAATATACATTCGTAAATCGGAAGAGTTTCTAATCGCTTCACTTTGACATATTTGAGACATTTCAAGGAGGCAGCTTTTTCAAAAGTCTATAAATATTTATAGATATAACAAAAAACATTTTCATTTTAAAAGGCTTTAAAAAGAAGTGATTGCTTGAGATATAGAAGAGAAGCTTGAAGAAGTAAATTGTTTGCAAACTCATTAATTAAAACATTTGAAGAAGCCTCCCTCATCTCTTACCTTTCCCTATCTGAACCTTTCAATTACTTAAGGACTATGGATACTTTCCTATACTTACGTATTGTTTATTGGGACTTCCCGTTTTCATTTTAGACGGGAATGGCAGCCCGTTTTTTTGTTGCACTACCGCTTCCCGTGCTGCCTGCATCGCTGGAAGAGCTCTGTGTTGCAGGTTGCTGTTGCTGCTGCTGATGTTGCGATTCTGCTTGTTGTCGCTGCTGCTCTTTCAGCAACTGCTGTTGCAATTGTTGTGCGTTTAGCTATAAGTTTGTTTGTAGAACCGGCGGTCGGTTTACAGTGGCGGATGTGGCCTCACCGGCGTCAGTTGGCGGTGTTATCACGGCACTCATTGTCGCTGTTGTTGCTGCTTCGGCAGTGGCTGTTGCTGTTGCTGTTCCTGTTGTTGCTATTGCTGTCGTTGTGGTTGCGGCCGTGTTGGCTATGCGATTGTTGGCCGTTGTGATGGCAAAGCCTACGGCTGCCTGGCCGTGTTGCCGCTGATTGATTTTGTTATTGTTGGCCACAACTTTCTCGGCAACCTCATCGCCAGCACCATTGCTGTTGTTGCTACTGCCGTTGCTGTTGCTGTTACCGTTGGTGTTGGTGTTGCTGTTGCCATTGCTGAGGCTGTTGCCACCGCCCTTGTCGGTGGGCGTGGTTGTGGCCGTAGTCGTATTGTTTGGCACGTACTGATCCGCATATGGTATTTGATTGTAGGCATTGATGTCCAGCGAGGTGATGATGCTGGAAATTGTCTGTGTGGCCATTTCGCACAATTTCTTCGTCTTGAGGGAGTTTTCTATACATTTTCATGGTAAACAGAGTGGAAAATTAATAATATTTTTGCGGTTTTCATAAATATTTACTACAGAAAATGTAAGGCAATTATAAGCTCCTATTATTTTATAAGTTTTTCCTGCAATTCAATCCCATTTTAAATTATTTTATAGAAAATAAACTAATGATGTAATCAATATTAAAGCTCTACCTTTTTTGTGTTTATTTTCTGTTTTTGGTGTGTGGTACCCCAAAAACCTTTCAGTAACCCCCCGTGGCTTACCTGTGTTTGTGGGCGTGATATGCTTCTGGATTTTCTCCTCCTGGGCACAGGTGGCCGCGGTCACCACGGCGGCAGCCATCATGGACGAGGGTCCTGTGCCGGCGGTCCGGTGCATGTTGCCATAGCGCGGTGGCATCATGCTCTGTCGCACGTTTCGCTCCGGTCGAATTAGTATTATGTAGAGCTGCAAGGACATATGAAAGCACTCGAATGAGAAAATCTGTATGCTTCCAATTAGCCTAATTCATTTGATTGAACCCGGGGGTCACTCCACCATCAGGCATTAATCATACGACCCATTGTACTTAATAGCCGCTTGGAAGCCGATTCCAATTTGGCTTGTCCTCTCGATGGCTTATCTGCAGCTCTGGCTTATGGTTTTTCATTAGAAGTCGCTGCGTGACCTGCCACCACCCACAAATAACGCTCACGCCCCCCATTCCGGCCAAGAGCTTGGCCAAGACCCAAACCCAATCAGAATCCGAGTGTCATTAGCCATTTCCCGTTTCGATGGCTAGCAGTAATTGTGGGCTAAACAAGAGCCACCGATAGAAGTCAATGTCATGCACGGGAAAATTAAAAACAAAGAATGAAAGGATACTGGATGCTAAGGGATACTGTAGTATACTCGGAACTTGGGTAAAAAATCAATATGGAATGTTATCGTTTATTTGAGCTTTCGATTCAATTAAATGATCTTTTTTTAAGTTTAATTTTTTATAGATTTTTTTCTGTGTGCCCAACGCTCCAATTTGCGTTGGGTTACTTTGCCTGTAGGGCCGCTCGGCCATTTCCGCCTTCCTTTGACACTGTTTGGCTGCCATTTGGACACCATTTGTTATTGTTTTGGCCTGGCTCTTATTTGCTGGCAAACAAACCGACGCGGGAAACACGAAAACAAACTGAGTCGAGGAAGCAGAACAAGGAAACGTGGACCGGGCGCATGGGTGCCTTGGTGAATGGCAGTCGGAAGTCGAAATTGCTTACCAGCTCGGTTCGCCTTTGTTCCTGCGGAAGGAGGCGTGGCGGTTGGCACCTTTACGGCCCCGGCTTTAGTTTGTTGCCTCTTAGTCCAGTGATCCCCAGTTGCTTTGTGGCATGCGGCATTCATTGTTGCCGGCTCCGCCTTGCCCCTCTTATCGTACAGCAATTGTAAATTGCATTTTTATGGCTCTCGGTGTTGCCTGGTACGTACATACAATTGGTATGTGGGCTGTGGGTGAGTGTGTGTATATACGGGCGGGTATTTATGTGCAGCGCGCCTTCTATGTCGGCAACTAACCGTGCATTAGGTGACATCTGACAGCGGATAGTTGGCCCGGTTGGGAGTCGCTGGCCAAAGGAGTATGTTATGCTCTGACATTTAATAACGCCACCTGGGCGGAGGGTTTATTGCCCGGGCGGAGCTCCTTCCTCGGAGATTTGTACTATTTGCCATCAGAAATATGCAGACAAGCCCATGAAATGCGACAATTTAAGTCGGTCCTTTGTTATTGACCAATTGTATATGTCATTTGCATTGGTTAAGCTCCACTTTGATACTCTGCATAAATTCATAGTTATTGTGTACTTTCATGTTATTTAACTTTATCTTCTGGCTACTGACTACTCCTTCCCCCTGACTGCACCCTTTGGTCTATGAACTTAAAGTTCCGTCCTTATTTGGCTTCACTGACTGTTGCCATTCGACTTAATGGCTAATAATGCAGGGGCATTATAAAAATTGTGGAGCTGAAACTGCAGATGGAAACATAAAAAGCAACACGCTCGAGGGACAAAAGAGGAGCCAGGGTCAGCTCAACTTTTTTTTTCCCATTTTTGTTGCAGCTTACTCAGCGTTCTTGGCTGTTGACATTTCAACTTTTTCTCGATTAAACATAATGAAATGGCAAAGGGTCCAACCCAGCACGGAAATCTCGAAAGGAGTGAAGGAACAAACGAAAATACAATATTGATGAAAATCCATCGCACGTAATGAATCCGGTCTCTGAATTAAATACCCCTTGACGACAGCTCGTCATCAGCTTCCGTCTTATTGCATTTTAATGAACCGCTCGCCCGTCTCTGTCTCCGCCGAGGATGAAATGAAAGCCAGTTTTCCCAATAAACGGGTACCGGCACCCGAAATCATTCAACTGGCTCAGGGAAAATACGCAATAATGAATGCATAACGCAATTACACAGAGACCGTACTGCATTCATATTTCAATTGTGCCCCGGAGGCTTCTTACTTTTAATTTCTTACTTTAACCCTGGTCCTTTGGCCAATTATCTTTACTTACCTTTGGGGAAAACAGACAGGCAATGGTCACGCTGGCGGACAGACTGATGGTCACCGACATGCTGGTGATGCGGAGCGGTACGTGATTGGCGGTACCGAAGTAGAGCGGTACGAAAGCCAACCAGATAACACAGGTCGTGTACATAGTGAAACCTAAAAGGATACATAGAAAGGATATACGATTTATTTAAAATTTTATTGCTTACCAAGCAGATATTGATCGTTACATTCTGTATTATTTCAGACTCTTACCTATATGCTTTGATTCATTAAAGGCTTCGGGTATCTTCCGTGTGAGCACCGCGTACACTGTGCAAATTATAATCAAGACGATGGGATAGAAGAAGGCAATCATATAGGAGGCGTCGATATAGGAGTCGCAGACAAGCAGGTTATCCTCGCGTGTCGGATAATGATGCATGGCATGTGATGGCGCAATTACCATCCAAACACCGTTGATGAGTATCTGCAAATGGAGATAGAATAGGATTTTGTTTTCCGCGCACACTTCGACATTCCACATGCCACCGGGCAGTGGCCGCCAAACACCTGAGCACACTCACCTGAACACTGACCAGGCACGTACAGATTACCAGCTGGGACTTGGGACTAATGAATGAGGGCCGTTTGGCGGATTGTTTGCCGGCTTTGAAGATGCGTGCGATGCGATTCGTTTTGGTCAACAGTGCAGCATAGACAACCGTGAAGCAGAATCCCACACCGAACCTGTCGAAGTCGGAAAGGGGCAATGTTGTGTGATGGGATGTCATTGAGGGATGGCATTTCTGAACTTACCGCTGGATGGCGCACACAATGTTGGTGGGCTTCAGGACCAGGGCAAACGTGACACCGTAGCACATGAAAATTCCGGCCAAAAGGATATAGCTTAGCTCCCGACCCGAAGCGCGAACTATGGGCGTGTCGTTGTGTCTGCAAATAGAAGCAGCATGAACTTCCAAACTTTGACCATGCACCACCCATGAATCTTTCTTCTTCCCAATTAGAGCATTATTTTAACGACTCTTTTTGAAAAATTG